TTATTGCACAAGTACAGAGCTGCTTTCGTTACAGTTTATTCAAACAGTTCAACAAATTGTTTAAGCCGTTAAAATGAAACTTCTCGCTGTGTATCCATCGATTTCTTGTGCTGATTGTCTACAGGGATCCATATAATACAAGAAGCTCAATCTTTGTGCCATTTATTCAAGCAGCAGGAAAACACAAGAATCTTATCACTTATTGTTAGATAAAGCAGGCTAGTTAAACTCCTATATAAATACTTTTCATTTTTTCCGGACAAAAGCCGAGTAAAAAGCACGTGAGATAGCCGCCAAAAACGAGAGCTATGAGGACGATGAGGAGAGGGGCGAATACACCTGCATTGTTGTTAGTATACGGGCACTTTCAAGGTGTTTAAGCTTTTTGAGTTACACAAATAGATGATAAACAGGTTCGAGGAGTTCGAGGACAAACAAACTCGTTTTGAAAACCACTTTGATCCATTAACAATTATAAATTCATTAAATAAATGCAAACAAAACAATAAATAACATTAAACCAACTATTAAATTCGAATCGGTCACCATTAGGATTTGGGCAGGCTCGCAGGCGTTTCGGGAAGACGGGAAGGCGAAACATGAGTCGTTAGTTCTCTCATCGGAAGCTCTAACAGAAAGAAACCGAATCATTTAATCACATGACATGATTTGAGACTTTTGAGCCTGCACTCAACTCTGTAGCATCTAAAACTTCACATTATGCATCCAGCCAGACCCATTTTGTTATTTCTGGATCACAACTAGTATTTTTACACACTTTTCACTAGATGCTACATTATAAAAGAAGCACCCCCTTTAAGCTCTACGCTCTACAAACTCTACATCTGATTTGAGATTGGAATTGGGTCGATCATTCTTCACCGTTTTTCCCATTCACCGCACTCTTCTCAAGAGCTCTGTCGATTCACATCACTCGTCAATGAGACTTCCTCTAATGTCCATTGAATATTGTTATTTCTGGATCACAACTAGTATTTTTAGACACTTTTTCCTATATGCTATGGGATTGATACTATGTCTCGTCTACCAATTCATCATCACCATATCTCTTGTCCATAAGTTAGTTGTCGACTTATTCATTTATCATATGTAGTCAATGGCCTCATAATAGGCTAAAGGGCTCTGGAATCGAGCTGTTCAATCAACCAAGAATCTCATCTGCAATGCATCCAATTCTTATTTATTTTCAGTGTATATTCAGTGTTAAAATTTTGATGCAAAACCAGCCCTATTGTTGTTTTCTGGATGATGTTATAAATATTTTGAATGTTCACCCTCAACGAAGTCCAAAAAATGAGTTCCTTGGCTTCAAGCCGTACTTGTGACTATTTACGGCGTTCGAGTTGATAACTTCCCCCAAAGAAACTCAAAGCTTCAAGCTTGACTCACTCGATGCTTTAAGTCTTTCCAAAATAATTGATATCCTTAAGATTGGGAACACACTAGTGTAAGAAGGGCAGATTTCCGTGGCTGAAAATAGTCAAAACTCCCTTATAAGCTACTTACGCTTTCTAAAGTCTATGATAGAGTTAGCAAGCAAATTTCCTTGCAAAATGACAATGACAATGACAATTTAATGCCTTGCCTAGCTATTAGCATTCAAATCGCCAAATGACTGTCATTCTCCTAAAATTTGTTTGTTACTCCATCATGAAGCCCTTTCTTTTGGTCTTTTTATCAAAACCATGGAACAAAAGGCAAAAAGAGTGAGGCCATAATGCAAAGATTATTTCAGCTCAATTCTGTGATCTTCTCTCTTCATGTATGTTCAAAGGCGACCAATTCGATCCAAAATCTATCACAAGTCGATTCGTGTTTCTAAAGTTTAAAACAAAGTCAAACTCCTCAATAAATACATGCAGCGTTGAAGCTGAACGCTATTTCATTTGATTTTGTTGATTGCAGAATTTATTTATGAATAGACCAAGTTAAAGGTGAAAAAAATCACGAAATAGTACCCACATATCATAATAAAACATCGCAAAACAAATCTTGTACTCACAATTTCAAATTTCGACAAGCACATTTTCGGCAAAAAAGCGGAACTAGGCGCCATAGACTAAATAAGCGCTGTCATAAAAGACTGATCTGAAAAATACAAAGTATTGGGGCATCTACAAACAAAGCTAGAATTGAATCGATGAAACATATTTGGCGAAGAAAAAGTAAGAGCCCACAACATAAATACAGTCACGCTTCTCGTCGAACCTTTTCAAATAGCAATCAAATGAACTATCATGAGAAACATAATGCCCAACCCGTTTCTTGATTGGACCACGAAGAGAATGATCAGACTCAGAACGATCACAACCCTGAATAATAAACTCGTGTTTTCTCCGCGTTTCCACCATTGTATCCCTCATGAAAGTCCTGATGTTTGGTTCGTCGATCTGACGAATTTCAGGAAAGTTCTTGATCAAATTGTTAATTTTAACTCCCATTTCACCGCCCGAAAGAAGCACGACAAAAGCGGCTTCTTTATTTCCACTCGGAATCCCGGAATTCAGAATCAACTCAATTGTCGAGTTGACATATTTTGAATAAACCTCAGGTACAAATAACTCAAGTTGAGTCTTCGAAAGTGCCGAAAAAAGTGTTGGATAAAAATCAGGCCCATCATAAAGATCCACTGAGATCATTTTACAATTTTGAAGGCTTCCATTGATCAAAGACAACATAAGTTGTTGATGTGCCTCTCCCCGTAAATGGTAAAAAAAAAATGTTGCTAGATCGGTGACTTCAGCTTTTAAATTCCACAAAAAATCGTTGAATTTGTCGTGATCGATCTGAACTTCCAACTCGCCGACTTGTTTCAAATTGGCGAGGGCCTTCTTGAGTGCCGAAAGTTTTTCCCACCAATGAATCCCCCTCCCGCTTCTGAAATCTTCAAAATCGAACATCGTTCAACCCCTGACAAGAGAAGGACCTCTTTGTAGTTATAAAATCGAAGCGGCGTCGATTCAGCGAATTTCATGATGAAGACTAGATCCTCGTAGCGATCGTGCTCGTCATCCAGACTTCCTCGATCATCCATCCCGACGCTAATCAAATGAATTTGTTTTCCAAGAATCCGTGCTGGTTTCTGGAGAAGAATCCCTCGAAATCTTCTGTCAACTTTCATCAATTCGGGCACATCTTTTGGCTTCAATTCATCGATTACTTCCAAAACCAGATCGTAGCAGAGTTTCTCCATCGGGAAATAGAGAAGATTGGGTATGTCGACTGGAAGTCCTGCCATTCTGCCTGAAAATTGAAAGATTAGAAAAGAACAACCAAATATCTGGCAGAGAAGTTGGCCACAAAACCAAAATAATCAACAAGCTGGGCCCAAATGTCGGTTTTTGGCTAAAGTTTGATAAAATCTTTGACTTCTCTTTGAAAAGTTGGCTACAAAACAAAAATAAGTTGGGGACAAAGGCGGGTTTTTGGATAAAATCTTTGATTTCTCTAAAACTTGTGATGATCTTTAGTGCATCAACAACAATAATCAAAGCTTTACATCTGAAAGGAGCTAAGATTGACTCAAAAGATTTAAGCAGTCGCTTTTTTTAAGAAAAAACGTGTCGTAGACCTAATATAGCTGATGTGTCATCAAAACAATCCGTAAAACTAGTAAGATCTGCGCTTAAAAAGATATAAAAGTCTATTCTAACAAGGAACGACTCGAAAAGCTCAAAATAAGGCAGAAAAGATCACCAATCCCTTTCGGAGAGAAGAGAAGAATGATTTCTCAAGCGCAAATTTTCCGTTTTACCCTATCAATTGGTACCGTAGCTCATGAGGTTGTCATTTAGAATTCGAATTAGGGTGTTTGGCTCGCATTTGTGTTTCAACTCGTAATCCATGGTTTCATTGAGGTTTTTGGGATTTTTAAATTTTTGTCCAATCACAAAAGAAAAGTGACAGCTTGGCCACAAAAATTTCGGCAATCAGCCATTTTTCGCTTACGGACACGATTCAGAAGAAAAACCCCTATTTTGCAAGGTTGGATTTGCGCAAAAAATATGAAATTTTTGGTTGGCATTCCCATGTTAATATTTTTACTTTGGCCTACTATTGTAAAAACTTTTAGAAAAGAGATATCTCAAAACGGTTTTTACCAATCGATCCGTCTTGAATTCAGCTTTAGGAGCTATAAAACGTCAAAATTGGACAAATTTAAGGTACTCTCCCAAAAAATCCGAAAGGACTTTTCCACCAACACAATAATTAGGCTCTGGTTGGTTTGCATTGAACGGAAAAATAACTTTTGACTAGGTTCAATTTACAATTAGCCAAAATGCAGCTGAAAGGCTCGTAACATTAACAAAGTTTGGGGCCAAGGCAGTGTCGTCGAGTCGTGCTCGGCATTGGCCAACAGAAAAGGTCCAATTCTTCTCCACGACAGCGCTCGTCCGCACGTCGCACAACCGACCCTGCAAAAGCTGAACGAACTTAGCTACGAAATTTTGCCTCAGCCGACATATTCGCCGGACCTTTCGCCTACCGACTACCCCTTTTTGAAGCACCTCGACAACTTTCTCCGGGAGGAATGCTTCAAAACTCAAGACGATGCCAAAAACGCCCCCGCCGACTTTATCGCCTCCAGAAGCTCGGACTTATATGCTACCGGCATGAAACTTGTTTCTCGTTGGCCAAAATGTGTTAATTGTAATGGTTTTTATATCGATTAATAAAGTTTTGTTTGGATCAATTTATGGGATTTTAAATATTCGAGTTGAAAACGCTCTTTTATTTCCGGACAACCTAATACTTTCCTTGTAAGTCCTAATGATATCAAATGCGATAGATTTGTTTTGCTTAAAAGCGAAACCTGAATTCCTTGGAAAGTTTCCTTTTGGAAGTGCTTGGTGATTTCGAATCGAAAGTTTTTGTAGTAGAGAAAAGGTAGAGAAATGGGACCGAATTGTAGAGAAAAGGAACCAAACCAACTTTAATACAAGTTTTTTCTAGCTTGAAACTTTATTTTCACATTCTCATTGTTCTTTTTGCATTTCTTGTGCGATCATCTCCTCGATGTGCTCCCAATCGACCTCGAACTGGAAAAAGGAGTGAATTGGTGGATGGAAAAGATTCTATCACATTTTATCCTCGTTCAATTTTTACCAAACCCTTTAAGGTCTAATTTTGGTCTAATTAGGGTCTAATTTTGTGCCCAAACAACGCAAAACTGGATTATAAATAAGCTGTGTCGAAAGGGTAATGGATTAAAAAGATTTGCAACGATTTGCTGTCTAGAGGAGAATCGGAGCGCTAGCTAGGGTGCATTTATAAGATTATGAGCTCAAAGTACGCCTCTTGAATATGACTCACTTTGCTCAACTGATCCAAGAACTTCTGATCGTTTTCCCGCTTTCCGAATTGATCGAGATATTTCTGACGATAGCCGAGCACCGTTTCGATATGCGTTTTGTGTTTGATGGCCACCTCGAGTGCGCTGAAAGGATTTTTTTCAGTAACATAAAGGTATTCAACCTAAGGTTGAATAGAAGTAACTACATCAAGGTTTTGCACTGGCTACAGTACCATCTAAGCACCTTTGAGTAACGCTTCACTTGAAACAATTGTTACCATTTACCACTTGAAACAATTGTTACCACTATAGGCACTAACCGATTCCATCTAAACGTCGAAATGTTGAGCATGATCGCTCGAAAAATGTGTCCCGTCCTTTCCAGCATAGAATCCGCGTCACCGATCTAAAGTAAATGCCAGTTTGATTAAAATGCATGATTCAAAAGGTGCGGTTAGGAAAAAGCTACCGTAATCTCTTAGATCTGATGTTCCTGCCATTGTCACTTTTTTTCCTATTCATGATTCTAGAATTTGAGGGATAAAGCGACAATTCACCAATTCTTGGTTTTTCCCTCTACTTAAGTACGGTACTTTTCGGCCTAAATCACACTATTCAGAAAGTAGTCTAGCAATCCATCTGGATCTTCATTAACGAATTGTTGTTGAGATTCCCCCACTCACCTTTCCTGTCAACAAAACCAACATCGCCGCTCGTACATCTTTGTTCGGATGAGAGCGGGCGTCGGCGAGAAAGGCGACCTTTTCACCCTGAAAAGTCTCAATGATATTCAGGTGTCGGATGATTGGCAATATGGGAATATGATCCTGTACTTATCCCAACTTTTACTTTTGTACCCATTTTGACTCACTCTTGACCATGGCCCAATACGACTCATTCTTACTTGAATATCTTTTGCTTTGTGAAGAGATTTGAGATATTCTAGAGTGCTGTACCATTAAAGGTGGTACAATCGCACATTACACAACCAGGGCTAAAATTGACGCGATCACACCAACTCATCTGTTACAATCAAGACTCGAGTTTTACTTCGTTTTCTATGCCCAGTGTCCCCAAAAAATTACTGTACCCAAACCATCCTCTGTAGCCAATGTCAAGCAAGCAAGACTTCAGCACTAACTTTGTAGCTTTGAGTACCTTATACCTAGATATTTAGCCACAAAGTTCAAAATCCAATGACAATTTAGTGCCAAGAAAAGACTGACGCGGGAAAGCTACGCCAATAGATGCTCAGTAATATTTCAGCTCAATTCCGCGATCCACTCTCTTCATGCATCTTCAGCGGAAATCAATTTGATCAAAAAATGTATCACAAGTCCATTGGCGTTTCTAAAGTTTAAAACAAAGTCAAACTCTTCAATAAGTACATGCCGCGTTGTAGCCGACGCTATTTCATTTTTATTGATTGAACCAAGTATTTATTTATGCATAGACAGAGTAGAATGATCAAAAAAAATCATGAAATAGTATTCAGATATCACGGTTCATATATTCACATATCCACAAAATCACAATTTAAACACACATTTTGGGCAAGGAAGTAGCAAGGTTCAATAACGACGTAGATGCAATCCCAGTTATCACGAATTTTTTTCTGTAATATGCAGCAGTTTCTTTCCATTCTTCTCCAGCAGAAAAAGTCCTGTTCAATATATTCCAACATTTTGTTCTCTCTTCTCCATCGACTTCTCGAACTCCGGGCAGCTTTGAGAGGATCTTCAGCGAGTCAGTATTTGTAACTATGAGCCAAATCGCTGCACCTCGATTTTGACTCGGAATTCCGTTGGTGACAATCCAACGAATCACCATTTCTGCATATTCTGGTCGGAGTGACTCATTGATGACCTCAAAAATTATAATATTGACTTTGGTTTCCAGAAAAAACTTGCGAAAAAAGTAAACCTCCTCAGCACGTCCTTTCAACCCAATCTTCTTGCAATTCTTGATCCTGTTTTGGAATAAGTTCAAAAGAGAGCGATAATTCTCATCATCTTCCTTCCATTGATACCAACTGAGATCCAAAAAAAATTGATCGAGGATGCTTCCCTTGAATATCGACAAGTATTTGCAAAGAGTCGGGTAGTGGTAGGAAAGAACCCGGTCGTCGGGAAGAGTCTCATCGTAGGGCCTGATCTCACCCACCGAATCCAAACATGCGAGCATTTCCGAGATCATCTTCGTTTCCTCATCGGTGGGTGAATAGTTTGCATGGTTGATCAAAAACTACGAACAATGACAAATCTTTTTGACGAGGGCCATTTCAAAACGGAGATCAAACAGCCGCGAAAATTTCGGAGAAAATTTCGTTTCAATAACGTAGAACGGACGAAAGATGATCGAATCGACGCGTTTTCCGAAGATCATCCATGGTCCCCCAATGAGAATCGCGCGAAATTCCTCGTTGGTCTTCATCAATTCGACGATATCCTGCGTATCCATTTCCTCCACCACTACAAGCTTCAGATCGTAGCAGAGTTTGCTCATCGGGAAGTTGAGAAGATTGGGCATCTCGACTGGAAGTTCCGCCATGCTGCCTGAAAATTGAAAGATTAGAAAAGAACAACCGGTAAATATATGGCAGAAACGTTGGCTAAAGAAGAAAAACAATCAACAAGGTGGGCCCAAATGCGGGTTTTTAGCTAAAGTTGGATAAGATCTTTGATTTTTCTAAAGGTTGCGATGAATTCCCGTGCAGGAACAACAATAATCAAAGCTTTACATCTAAAAAGAGCTAAAATTGACTCAAAAGATTTCAACAATCGCTCTTTTTAAGCAAAAGCGTGTCGTAGACCAAAAATAGCTGATTTGTCATCAAAACAATACTTAAAACTAGTAAGATATGCGTTTAAAAAGATAGAAGTCTATTCTAACAAGAAATAACTCAAAAAGCTCAAAATATGGCAGAAAAGATCACCCATAACTTTCGTGGAGAAGAGAAGAATGATTTCCCAGGCCCAAAATTTCCCTTTTGGCCCATTAATTGGTACCGTAGCCCACGAGGTTGTCTTTTAGAATTCGAGTCCGGATGTTTCGCTCCAATTTTTTTCAAATGTAACCCATGGTTTCTTTCAGTTTTTCAAATTTTAAACTCTTTATCAATTAACAAAAGGAAAGTGATTGCTTGGTCACAAAAATTTCGGCAATAATCCATTTTTCTGCTTCGGAACACGATTCAAAAGAAAACCCCTATTTTGAAACGTTGAACTCGCGCAAAAAAAAGAAATTTTTGGATGATTCTGCAATAAAACCCCACCCTATAGGTACATCGCGTAGTCTAAGTTTACTGTAAAATAAACACTCATATCTCAGCACCAGTACGTTAGTTTACCGTACGTTGATACCGACAAAAACCAAGGTCTAGTTAGACTCTAGATGGTCAAGGTGCAAATTTTGGTTCCATTCGAGTTTTATTAAACCAAACAAGTGCCCACCACCAGACACTGAGTCATCAGACGAGTCGGAGTCTGCATCTGCATGTGTTCAATCACACTGTTGTTTCTGCGCGCTTGGGTATCAAATTAAAGTAGAGAAGATTGGTTATTTTTTGAGATATAACACAGATTTTTAGCATTGACGCTGATCAAAAAAAGAGCTTAGAAAGCTTAGAAAAAAAGATTGAAAGTGACAAAAAGGAAGAAAATCCGATTTCTATTGCATTATTTACGGTAGGTAGTTTATAAATTTTCGGGAAATATGGGATTTGAAAGCCCACCTCATCCAGTGCCCCATAGGCGATCTCGGCCGCGTAAAGGTTTTTCTGTTGCGCGGCCGTGCCGGCCAGAACCGCCCACAAGACGTCATCCTGAAAAAAGTCTTTGGATTCGATTTTTGATAAAAGCGATTACAAAATCTCGCAACTTTCGAAGCTAATTGGCGTATTTTCATTGACGCAATTTTGTACAAACCCTGCTTTCTTAAGCTTGAATAATCCTATTTGTAAACAGTAACCGGTACATTTCACAGGCTGATTGTCAGAATCTATGAATCTACCTGAATGTGTCGACACAAACGTATCGCTTGATCCCATTTTGACGCGTCAGTGTATGAGAGGAGAGCCGATGGGAAAGGAGAAAGAGCGATTGGAACAAGAGAGCCATCGGAGCGACGAAGGATCACTTGATTGTCCGAGAAGCTGCAATGGGAATACAAGGATGGTAAGATTGTAAAATAAAGAATAGATAGAGCTAGAAATTGCATTGATTTTCTTATGGTAAAACTTTTTGTTGAGTTTGTTGAGTACATTAAAGCAAACGAAAACTGTAAGCTTTTCAACTAAGCCTTGGTCACTTTGAGAAAGCTCAAAATCTCAAAAGCTCAAAACCAATTCTTGGAGAATCACCTACTTGATGAGTTGCGGGAATTTCCCCAACCCATTCACGGGTTTCTCGATCACCGCTTTTTGAAGGAGTTCTCGATCGACGAAAATGAGTGCCGGCACTGGCCAGACGAGGACCTGCAAAGTAAAAAATAAAGAAGTGAAGGAATTGGGACAAAAAAGCAGATTTCCGGAGAGGGGATTGAACTCTCAACCTTTTGCTTTCTGGGCAGACAATTGGTAAGCTCATAAGCCCGTGAAGCAGGCAGCATTCCAAAGTTTGATGGCACAACAAACAATGCTTGTTCCTCCCACAGTCGCTGCCGTGCAAAGCGAGATAACGAACATGGCAACGGATGAGAAAGAAAAAGTGCAGCTTTATTTCTCAGTTATTGCTTTTGTTTAGCTTAAACTCGAGCTTGAATCATTGAATTGGGTGTTTATTGTAATCGATGGATGGAGCGGTTTCGCATCAAATTCCTCGGCGTAATTGTTTACTACATTTACCGGAAAGAAGAAAAACTAGTCTCAAAGGTGCTCGCTCTAAATCAAGTAACGGAGAGGTAGGCAAATAAAGAATTTACACAATCTTAATCTTAGTGAAACTGGCGACTATGTGGCAGGGTTTGTGAAGGAAACGATCGAAGATGCTGGACTACAAGGAAAAGTTGTAGCTGCTGTGAAAGTGGATTTATATGAAATGAAGCCCATGAAGAAGCTCATTTACGCGATCTCGTTTTGATCCAACCAAGCCCCCTCACTCAAAAAACGTATCCAACCAAGATCACTGAGCTTTGGCAAATGATCTAATATTTAAATTTGCTCTAAATCTCCCCACCTTTCCATCGCCCAATCCAACGAGCATCGGCGAGAGATCATTGAAGCAGAGTTGCTCGATTAGGGCGCCTAAAACGAAAATTGGAATTTCTTGGTTGACCCCATGGTACTTTTTTGTTATCTAGAGTAAAATAGGCGTTTTATGATTACAGAAAATGCGCTTTTTGATATTAAAATTCACATTAGTTTAATAAAGGGGAAAAATGAATTTCCAAAAGAGTCTGAGATGAAAACAAGTTTTCCCACTTCACTTCAAAAATGAAATTCTTGAAAATCTTGAAAATCTTGAATCTTTCTTCGGAAAAGAATGCAATCGTCTGCTTCGTAAACAATAAAACAATGAACAGATTAAAGTGTCGAATTGTCAAGAGATGATCGAAGGATCGCATCCAATCTTGAGGATTGAATTAATATCGTTGGAGAGACAGCAATATATCTACATAAGATTTCCAGACTCCATTCGTGCCATTCAGATAAACAATTGGTTCAAGGATTCAAGGCTCAATTTTGTCTTTTCAAGTTAACGACATCATTTTCAAGTTCATTCATCTGTGGACAAACGAAAATTCGACAATCAAATTTGCTGAGGAAGAATTGGAGACGTCGTTACAAACCATTTGCTTTCATTTGCGTCAAGTGTGTGCTTAAAGCTCTGTGAACCGAACACAAACTCATGGAGGCCCGGGTGTACTGTTAAGATCGATGAATCACTCCTCAAAATATCATGTTGGGCGAATGGTCTTGAAGTGGTGTTTTAGCGGAGTGTACAGGGGAATCAAATAAAGCTTTGTGTTCCCGACCGATCCGCTGCTACTTTGATTCCAACTATCGAAAAGTACATTGCTCCTGAAATCCGGATCATTTCTGATAGATGATCTTCGTTTCGAAGTCTTGCTTCCCATCAGTTCAATTGGGTCAACCACACAACAAACTCCGTCGATCCCGTCGATTCACAAGATATTGAGAGGATGTGGCGGCAATTCAACGATGCAAACCGTTACACGGAACCCAGTGACAAATGCTTGAGAGCAGCTTGAGAGCTAAGGGAATCTAGAAGATGAACTGTGCTCTGCTGAAAGTTGAAAACTGGATGCTGGAAACTGGCAGTCCAGTTCTCGCCGCCATTCTCGAAGACATTTCTGGCCCACCATAACTCTCAAAGGATCCCTTCTATATTTTTAAATCCTTGAATAAACTTGTTAAATCAACTACAACAAACTGAAAGACAGAAAATGTGAACGCAAGTTTTATGAAATGAAGTTGGAGTTGAAAATGAAAAAGTGAAAGCTAAAAGTAAAAAAAATCAAGTAAATCAAATAAAATCAAATAGAAAATGAACGGAAAAGATTCCAACCAATTTTCGCAGTCCTTGGCGTTGTTCCAAACGAGTTCACGAGTGAAACATAAACGGAAGTGGATGAATCAGTGAAAGCGATCACTCTTGCGTTGAGCGCACCGCTTTGCGAGACGCGAACGCATTCGATATCGGACTGAAAAGTCGACTTTCTACAGTAATCCTATGCACTCCTATCCTAAACCATGCCCCTTCCTCCTTTTACCGTAATCTTTTCTACGGGCATGGTTTAGCAATAAGACTCTCCCTTTCTCTCACCGTATGCGTGATCATCCCATCACCCTGCACTTTCCCAGTGTTCGGATCGAATAGGTGCACCTTTGTATAATCATTTCGATCTCTCACCACAATCGTATCATTCGATAGAGCTGTGTTCTGAAAAGTTGATCGAAATAGAAGTCATAGAGTACTTTGTGCTCAAATTTGCAAACAAACCCTGCACCAATATGCGTGTTTGCATTGGCGCACTTTAGAGCGTAAACGCGCGCTCTCTGGCCTCAAATTTTGGTTCACTTCCTCAACTCTAGTTATGTCCAAACTTTTAAAAGATCAAAGAAAGAGCCAAGTTTTCAGGGAAAGAGCCGAATTTTCTACTGAATCAATCGAGCTGCTTTTGGTGTCAAAATGTTGAGAAATATTTAGAAATCAATTAACTGAAAAGAGATTGGAAAATATTATGTCTGAGGAAAGTGATAGACTTTGACGTGGCAATGGTCAACCGGTGGGCCATGTCGTTCCCAGGTTGGGAGCTATGATATGGGCACTATAAAATAAAAAAATGACGAACTATCACACTACAAACGCTTTTAATTTGCTTCAAATTTGTCTAATTAGCATGATTTATAGCTCAAAAAATAGAGAATAAAGGTTTGGCAGGTCAAACCAAAGCCAACAGTTTGCTTTAACGTTCGCAAAAAATCCAAATTTCCAAATGATCCAAATTATCCAAATTAATCCAAATCCCAAAGGTACTAAAGACTCAGAAATTGCGCGCAAGACGTGGCAAGGTTTTGCAAGTAAGCAAAGTAGATATATGCAAGAGCATAAAGAAAAAAAGAGATTCACAAAGCGGTAAGGAAAGGACTCTTCTGAAAAGTTGGAAAGGAATCTTCAGAAAAGCGCAACTGATCCTTTTTTTCTCTGAAAAACTTTTGCGACAAAGGGGCCCAGACAAAACACAGAAAAATCAAGTGCGAAATAGAATTCACCAACTCACCGATTCGTTGAAACTTCCCCCAGTGCCGGGTACTTTGATCTCACAAATGTATCGTCCCTCGTAGCTGTACGAGTACAACGAGCCACCGTCACTCACCACGAATAGTCTGGAAAAGGGCAATTGAACTTTTACTAACAATTAGACTATTACCAGTTCTGATTACTTTAAAACATTACCATTCGAATGAAAACTTTCCGCCGTGACTCACTTTTCCGTTTGTATCAACAACGAGACGTTTCCCTCTTTCAAATCGACGATGATCGGTGTGTTCCAGTTCTTCGAGCTGAATGATATTGTAAATGAGTGGGCCAAGCAATGAGTCAGTTTCAATGAGTGGGCAAAGCTCCGGGTTCAGTACTTTGAACAACGAGACGCTTCCCTCTTTCAAATCGACGATAAGCGGTGTATCAATTGGCAAAATTCAACTTTACGGTCTTATCGAGATTTCCAACGACATCTGGTTCCTATGTTTTTCTCCAGAATGCACAAAAAAACATAAAATTATGAGAGGGAGAATTTTTAGAGAAAGAAAAATGAAAAACAAAAACCGTTAGACCGTAAAGTGCACCCACATTAAGTGTGCTTTACAGTCTAGCGTCAAAATTAGCATTTGAAACACAACCTTGCATTTAATTATCCTTTCAAATTTCCATTTTCCCACATTCGATCATCTTTACTTTTATTTTTACATTGTATTGCATTTCTTTTAACTTTTTATGATTTCTTTTCATTTAATAATTTTTTTTCTTTGGGAATGCGCGTGGGGGATCTCGTCTGTAAACCCAATTTTGTGGCTAAAAGAATTGAGGGAGTTCGGCTTTATTCCTGACGAATTGAAATATGATCAATGTGATGGCATTGATCACATTTGAGCAATTTGGTGGCATTGATCAGGGAGTTCGGCTTTATTCCCGCGGACGATGAATTCAATGTGATCAATGTGGTGGCAATTTCGAATTATGTTCTAAGGCTTCTCGCCAAGATAGTTAGAAATGGAAAAGCGGAGGATAGCCGAACTTCTAATGTTTTTCTTTAGGAATGCGCGTGGGCAATCTCGTCTGTAAACCCGAATGTTTGGCTAGACGAATGGAGGGAGTTCGGCTTTATTCCTGACGAATTGAAATGTGATCAATGTGATGGCATTGATCACATTTGAGCAATTTGGTGGCATTGATCAGAAAGTTCGGCTTTATTCCCGCGGACGATGAATTCAATGTGTTCAATGTGGCGGCAATTTCGATTTATTTTCTAACACTTCTGATGGTTACTGATGGAAATGCGGAGGGATATCGACTAGTTCATAAGAAGCCCGCGCGCTGTACCAACACTCAGGCTTTAGTCTGAGTTTATAGTTAAATGTTTATTTTTAGATCACTAAAACTAAAACTTATGTTTTTTTGTGCATTCTGGCATGGGGGAAAACAGAAAAACCAGATTTCGTTGGTTGATTTTGTTTCTCGATCAGGCCGTAAAGTTGAATGTAGCCAAACAGTCTAATTAGTCTAGTTCACAGTTTTTTCGGCTCTCGACCCCGTTTTCAGTCAGATCCGGCTTTTCAAATCTATCCGAATTCGGCTCGGTTCGAATTTTTGTGGACCCGAGAATTCCGGACCTGTCATTCTTGGCCTCAATGCTCACTATAGAATGTGAGATTGCATCTTTTAGGCGATCAAAAAAGAGGCGATCGAAACTTGAAGATTTAAAGGTGTAATATCTACCTGAAGATGTAGATCTGTTTACTCGTCAACACCACCAAATGATCGTGCGCCACTGAGAATTTCGTGATCCTGCAAAAAGATTTTGAATTCTGAGAATGAGTGATTTTTGTGCAGTGTGCAGTCGATTTCTATCTCTAGACAAAATCTCAGAGCAATCGGTCAAGAAGCGGCGAAGAATCGGCGAAGAAATTGAAGGTGGAATTGGATTCGGGTTGGAATTTTCCTTTGTCTACTCCTCACCGATCCCTTGTGTCCAGCTTCTCCCTGGCCACCTCACTCGTCATATCCCGCACTTCAATGAGATTCGTTTTCGTTTGCGTGATGTCCAGGTTACGGTAGGAGGTTCGCCTGAAATTTAATCGATAATTCGCGTTGAATTTATCGATGAATTTGCTGGATTTGCGAATTTGAATGAGAATTTGTAAAGCTTGTGAATTTTTGTTTTGAATTTTGTTTTGAATTTAACTTTAGAACTTTCTTAATTGCGAATCTGATAGACTTTCTTAATTGCGAATCTGCTAGACTCAAGTTTTACGCGAGTTGCGATTCGCTCAATTATTTTCGACGATAACCAACTTTTCAATGAGATGTGCATGGACGACATGTCCATGACTTCCACCGGCCACCAATTGTGTCCCATCGGGACTCCATCCCACCGCCATCACCGATCCACAATCGAGGCGCTCGACGCTGTGAGACCACTGAAATCAACAAGTTTTACGATTTATTGCTTACGTACTTATTCACTACACTGCTTGACATAACTTTATGACCAGTTGAGAAAAAACAAAAGAAAGTAAAAACAAAAGAAGTTTTTACTTTCTTTTGTGTTTTTCATTATTTTCTGTACTGTTTTCAAAACAAATTTTTTATTTTAGTGATAGGCAAAAGAAAGCAACTTTCTGATAAAGAAAGGTGGGTGATCGAAGCAATGAATCAAGAAGGTGCCAGCTAAATCGATAAATTGCCAGGAAAGTCGGCCGTTCACACCAATTGATCAGTACCTATCTTAATGATTCAACCAGTTATGGGAACAGCTATCAATAAATTGCCAGGAAAATCGACCGTTCACATCATTTGATCAGTACCTATCTTAACGATTCAACCAGTTATAGGAACAGCTATCGATAAATTACCAGGAAAATCGGCCGTTCACACCAATTGATCAGTACCTATCTTAACGATTCAACCGGTTATGGCAGAATGAAACATCCGCAACGAAAGCCGAGCTTACTTCAATTATAATACTATTTAAAATATGATCTTTGATGGGATAACATTTTTCTTAAAAACTTGCGGAAAAAAGGTGGTCGTAAAATTATAGCAGTGTATATCTGCACTCACTCCAGCTCGATCACAAAGCCGCAGCAAGTTGAACGATCCAATCACAAAGAGCGATCCATCCGGGGAGAAAGCTAGTGAAGTGATCGGTGTCTCGTGGCTCGCCGACGTGAATAGAACCCGGCCGAATGAATCCCAGACCTAGATTTAGTTGTTTGTCTAAAGATTTTCATTATCACTCTGCAATAAACTAGAGTTTCTGAATTGTTAGCTTTGTCACGAAATATAACTTGTTATATCTTATTTTATTCAAGCAAAACCTTGAATTTCCCGTCTTCTCCGCCGGTAATGATCAGATCACTCGCCGCACTCCAATCCAAACATGTGATCACACCGTCATGAGCTTTCCATTTGATTGGAGACACCTAGAAACGTTGGTGGTTCTATTTGTCAACGTTAGCTGAAGGCACTAATACGGTACATACAGTGGTCCACAAAAGTAGTGCCCCATTGCCATCCAAAAGTTTCTTTCGTAAGAAAATCTTGCAGAAACGGCATTTCAGAATTAGTGTAGGGGCTTTTTGCTTACCCAAAAGATTCTACTTTTCAAGAATAAGATTCATCCATATACACTGCATAAAAATTAAAGTATAAAACAAAAAAAATAAGTTACTTAGAGTTCAATAAGAAAAAAAGTTAATCAGATGTTTATGGGCAGCCCTTCTTGCATATAATCCAGCTTGATTTAATCGTCGTCTGATCGTTTGATAAAAGCTTGCTAAATTGATCCCTCATCATTTGGCTTTCATCGGTTGATTTTTTGTTCGGATTGTTTTTTTACGATTCTGATCACGGCTCGATCTTCTTTTGTAGTTGTGATTGGAGGTCGGCCACTTTTGAGGCCTCGATAAAGGTTTCCGCTGACTTTTGAATGAGAAAGGATCACCGTCCATATCGAGCAATTGAAGAGGTTAGCTACATCTTTAGCAATTGAAGATGTTAGCAGCATCTATAGCAATTAAAGAGATTAGCCACATCTATAGCAATTGAAGAGGTTAGCCACATCTTTAGCAATTGAAGAGGTTAGCCAAATCCTTAGCAATTGAAGAGGTTAGCCAAATCCTTAGCAATTGAAGAGCTAGCCACATCCTTTCCCCTCATCCCATTTTCCCAAGCCTTGGCGATTTTGAGCTTCTCCGGAGTATCAATATTCTTCTTGCCAGCCAACTAAATAATCAAATAGAATACACTTAATGTTCATAGAACGCAAAAATAAAGAGAATAATTAAAGAAAACATCAACGGACATTACTTTTGTGGAGCTAATTTTAGGGGTAAATGCCCTCTTCCACATCGAACTTTTGATTGGAAAGATTTCAATCAAAAAAAAAACTAGATATTCAAAAACTAGAAAAAAAAGTATTTTAAAAGGAAAGAAATATACCTTCAAAGATGTTTTGAACAAAATTTCTGCGAAGTGCAACAAAAGTGCGCTACTTTTGGATGGCAATGAGGCATTACTTTTGTGGACCACTGTATGATAATGGCCAGAATCCGACCAGAAGCCAGGTCCAGCCTCAAGAACTCTTTTGAATCAGTTCTTGAGCTCTTCCTAAGCCGCAAAGCCAGACCAGGGAAGCCAAACTACCTATTGTTTTGGGCTCATGTCTGGATCAAGGCTGTTCCGACTGTTCCCTAGGATCCGTGTCCAGAGCCAGGCACAAGCTCGATTAGTGCAAAAGCCAGAGCCAGACCCAGGACCTGACTTATCCTCGATCTCGCACTTACTTGTGTCTTCAACGCTTTAATATAGCAAGTGTCCTCGGATGCGTACAACACTCTCGACGCACTTCCATCCCAAACAGCCGAATAGATTGGCGAGGCGAACTGCGCGAGAACACTCCGAAGCATCGCCTGCCGTGACCACATCTTTACCGCGCCATCCTCGCCACCTGAAAGCTCACCCTGAATATAGATATCAGCTCAAATTTTGTGCAAACACATCTCTTCTAGTGCACCAAGTTTCATGGTTTTTCTTCCACTACCAAGTCACTTCAGTGCACCAGGAAGCCTGCAGTTTACAGGATCACAAAGTACAGAGCTCGTTTATTTAGCAAGCAAGCGTTTAGCAAGCTTAGCGTGTGTGTGCCGGAAAGAATATGTTTGCACTCGAAAAACAGTTTTGTTCAATTCTCACTTACAAGTGATCAACCCAGTCCCGTCGTGGCTCCATTTTGCACTCAACGCCGCTCCCCGATGCGCGTCGACGGTTTTCTCGATTTTCCCGTTACGAGTGATCAAGTGCAGTTTTCCTAGATAGATTTGAGTGATTAATTTCACAAAAAACAAGAACAAACCATCCGATGAGGTCAACGCTAAAACATCATTTTCGCCTCTTGTCAACGAACGCGGAAACCAGGACATCGAGGTGGGAAAGGTAGTGCTAAATGTAAAAGTTTAGCCACTCTGAAGCTTGCCCTAAAGCTAAAGCCACTCTGAAGCTTGCCCTAAAGCTAAAGCCAATCTGAAGCTTGCCCTAAAGCTAAAGCCACTTTGAAGCTTGCCCTAAAGCTAAAGCCAATCTGAAGCTTGCCCTAAAGCTAAAGCCACTCTGAAGCTTGCCCTAAAGCTAAAGCCACTCTGAAGCTTGCCCTAAAGCTAAAGCCACTCTGAAGCTTGCCCTAAAGCTAAAGCCACTCTGAAGCTTGCCCTAAAGCTAAAGCCACTCTGAAGCTTGCCCTAAAGCTAAAGCCACTTTGAAGCTTGCCCTAAAGCTAAAGCCACTTTGATGCTTGCCCTAAAGCTAAAGCCACTCTGAAGCGTGACCCAGTTACCGTAAACCGTAGACAAAAGTTACAGTAATTCAATCTTTTCAAATCTTTTCAAAACTCACTCAGCCAAATTGGTGACTTTCGTTGCCTCCATTGTGACGAGATTCCATTTGAGAAACGTGTGATCATCCGAACAGGAGACCATTTCATCACTCGATGACCAACTGAAATATAAAAGAACATTGGATTTCCCTGGATTTTGTTCAATTTAAAGTCATTTTTATTCTGGAATTGATCAAACTAAACTACAGTGCGTTTCACATTAATAAGTTCACCCAAGAAAATCGAAATATCTTAAATTATCAGCATGCTACTGTTCGAAATCTTTTTTATTCAAAAGAGCGCATCAAAAAAATTCTAGAATCAATAAATTGCTTAATATTTTTGCGCATTTAGATAAAAAAACGAATAAAAATGATCGAAAACGAGCGTTTCACATGTTCACTTTAATTTTTATGAATCTTTTTGCATCTTACTTCTTGTTACCACAATAATTTCACCACAATTTTATAATTTTTAGAAAATAGCAAGTGGAACCAAGCTTTCTACACTACAAAAAGGATCAAAACGACACTCCAAAACGCAAAGCGACACGTCAAGAAGAGTCAAGCGAATCAGAGAACACTTTCTGTCGTGAACAATTATTTAAAGGAGCCGGATATTGGCGCTCCTACATCACTTTTTAAAATCAAATTAGTCAGTTCAGTTTTTTCAACTCACCCCACAGCACAAACCGCATCTGAGTGCCGGGCCACACTTGATTGCAGAGTTTTTAGGCGCATTTTTAGATTTTCTGAAAAGTAGAGAAGTAAGTAGACAGTAGAAAAGTAAGTAGACATAAAATTTCCGACTTAGAATTAGTGAATAATGGAAAAAGTGTGAAAAACTCGTTGTCAATCAACTAAAATCGGGATTTTTAAGTTTAAGCCTAAAGGAAACGGTAGTTGGAACAAGCTGGAACAATTTTGAGCCTAAGCCTGAGCTTTCAGGGCAGGACCAGGCTCCTGTTTCCTGATCTATTGGGTTGGTGAATTGAAAACTGCGGGCTATTGTCATATGTGACAGTTTCAGCACTTTCTTCAAAAGAAACCCATTTTGGTGTCAATGGAAAAGTTGTAGAGAATCGAAAATGAAGCTTATATCCAGATTTTCAGAACGATTCAAAAACTCGTTTTCAAGAAATGCCAAATTTAAGAAAGAGATGCCAAATTTTCACAAAACTTGCATTTTAAGCGAAACTACTAAGTGTATCTTTTTGAAAATTTGGCTATAAGCCTACTTTTTGATTCTCTACAACTTTTCTATTGACACCAAAAGGGGTTTCTTTTGAAGAAAGTGCTCAAACTGGGAGTCCTCCATCGTCCTCTCCAGTCCTCCATTTTTGAGTCTCACACTTGTCTAACACACAAACCAAAATCCTACTCCGAAAGAGGAATCCGCAAATTGCCTTTAAAATGGGCAGAAGTCGTCAATAATAATAAAAAGGTGAATGAATCCCTAAAGAAGAATAGGCCCTCCAAGTCAAAGATCGTTCTCCTCCACGACAACGCGCGTCCTCATGTCGCAAAACTGACTTGCTCTAAAAGAAACAGCCTTGTTTGGGAACTTTTGGCGCATCTCGCATACAGTCCTCGCCCCTTTTGATTACTATTTATTCCGGATCATGAGTAATGAGCTTGCGGGAGAACACTTCGATTCGGAAGAAGCAGTCAAAAATTGGCTTTGAAAGTTTTTCGATTCAAAGCCAACATCCTACTACGAAAGAAAAATCCGCAAATTGGCTGTAAAATGGGCAGAAATCGTCAATAATAATGGAAATTATTTGGAATCAATTCATGGTTTTATGTTGAATAAATTTTAGTTCAAAGTCTAGCAGTTTTATAAAACAATAAAACAAGCTCAGGGTCCTCCCTTACACGATGAGCCAACAAAAGCACTTTGATCAAAGCAATAAACAGTATACTAAAACTAAAATCTTGAAGCCTTAAAATGTCCTTGATTTCCCTCTGTTTATCCAGGTAACCAAGGTGACCGTCTCCCCGTCGACTCTTGCCTTTCCTTGTCGGCCCTATCCCCTGCTCCTCCCACCGTACCCCTTCTTCTCTATTGATCCCCTTTTCACCTCACATTCCTTCCCTCAACAAAACCACCATTGAACTTATTTTTTTGCCTTTAAATCTTAATCCGTTTGTCTACGATTTCTCAATAATTTCAGTTTCCTTTGTTCACTTTTGCAAATTGCATTAAAAATTGATCTTTAATGAATAACTTGTTATCAAATTTCTATTTTCGAATTCAATTTTATATTACAAAAGTAGATGATGTCGTAAATGTCATTCCACTTTTCATAGGCTCATTTTTTTGGAGTTTACTACAAGAATTTCCAAAACTCTAGTTAAACTTAAAGTTTTCTTTCTTTAAAAAAGCGAATTGAAAATCTCTTATGTACTCTTATAGATAATCTCTTATATACTCTTATGTAGGGAATCTTTTATGTACTCTTATATAGCTAATCTCATGTACTCTTACGTAGTTAGTCTCTTAAGTACTCTTATATAGCTAATCTCATGTACTCTTATGTAGCTAATCTCTTATATACTCTTATATAGCTAATCTCTTGTATACTCTTATATAGCTAATCCCTTATATACTCTTATGTAGCGAATCTCTTAAGTACTCTTATAATAGCTATCTTATGATGAATACAGTGTTCCGACTAAAAATCTTAGTTTATTTATGAACTCTAATTTGTTTTCAACTGGGAAAACGAGAAAATATATTAAACTTACTTTCTATCACCCATAAACAATTTGGAGCAGAGCAATTTCAGATATTTCGTCAGTTTTCTTAGGATTCCAGTGGTTACGTCGATGCACACCCAAAAAAAAAAAATCAAATTTTGCAGGCGGAATTGAACCCGAGGGTAAAAATAGGACCGTTGTTTCAAAGCCTAAGCCTTTATCCACTAGGCCACAAGCTCATCTCTAGCCGGTAGCAAGAGAAGTCTTTTAAAGGTATCAGTTTTGAATCCCGATTTTGCATTCCAGATTTCTCGCGTTTCCGTGGCTATTAGCGGCTAATTTTTGTCGCTTTTTGTTCGCCATTGCCGTTTCTATGTTATGCACTGGGTTTCCAGTCGATTCCAAACTTCGACCTCACCAGGGAAAATAACATTATACAAATTTCTAACAATCAAAAAGGATTTTTAACTATTTTTCAAAAAAAGCAAAAAGTTTGCTAATAGTGGATCCGAACCAAGATCAAAGAGTGCAGGCACACTAACCACTAGGCTACGAGCTGACTGTTGGGATGGCGAAAGGGAAGCCTTTCCGCCGGCAAAAATCAGTGTGCCAGAAATTCGAGAAAAGCCTTCATTTTTTCGAAATTCAAATGGCTGTAACTTTGTGCGTTTTGCCGATTAGCGTTTTTTGAGAACAGTTTCTGGACGTACAGTACTGGATAATGAAATATCATATTTGAAAAACGATCGTCACTTTCGCGCGTCTGTAACTCTCTTGTCTTTGAGTTTAAACTATTAGTGTTATACATTTTCTGAAAGCTCTTTTCAAGGGCTACACAATGGTAATATTAATATTTAGAAATACGGTAAAGAAAATGGAGTTACAGACGCGCGAAAGTGACGATGTTTTTTCAAATATCATATTTCATTGTCCAGTAGTGTACATGTTCAGGCCTTTCTTTTTGCACCTACCTCATATTGTAACTCGCGGGTAACTTGGGAAGGTCAGACCATTCCCTGGTCAGACCATTCCCTTGTTAGTCATACTGTTTTTCATCAAAATCCTATCCAGTTCGTCATTTCATATTCTTTTCTTTTCCCACTCAGCAAAAAATGTATGAATTTTTAGGCAAGGGTTTCGAAAAAAAAGAGAAAAAGAGCAGAGAAAATCTTAAAAAGGATCTATCAGGGGTTCCCTTTTCTCCAAAATGGGCCTCCGAGCTAAAACAGAGAAAAGAAGAGAGAAAAAAGCAAAAAGGCCGCAATTTTTCCGCACATTTCGGCCTGGGCCTTTTGCTAGGCAAGGCTAAAGCTTTCCCCTTCTTTTTCCTTTTCCTTTCCATTTCCATTTGCTCATTCGATGCCCATTTTAGAGTGGCCCCAGTTATCGACTAAATTTTCCGATTTCCTTTTTTTGCTGATGTTCATGTGTTTTCTAAAATGTGTTTTTCATAATTACCGTATTCTGGTGGTAGTAGCAATGTGCTTATCGAGAAAATATTCTGCAAATCTCGAAAAATTTGGTCTAAAGTCTAGGTAAAACTGGGAAAATCGGGTTTTTAGATTTTAGATCTCAGCCGTAGACTCGGAAACACTTTTTCTTGCTTTGTAATCCAGGGTTTTTCTGTCATAACCGTTTTTTTGTAATCAGAAAAGTTTCTGGTAGCCGTCAATCTTTTTGCGGGAATAGGTTTCGGGAATTCACTGGAAGCGGAAAATTCAAAAGTTTACGATTCTCGATTCTTAGAATCGTGAATCTTAATGCTTAAACGAGAATCTTAATTCTTAAACGAGAATCTTAATTATAGTAGCAACGATGGCAATTCTAGCACCAATTATAGCAGTAACAAGGCAACAGGCAACAATAGCAACATTTCAAATAGTTTTAGGCCCAGAAAAAAAATTCAGATGTTAAAACATTAAAACGCAAAACAAATTTTTATGAAAAGGAATCGAACTCGAGCCAGAAACCGAAGCGTTTGCTTTGTATCCCAGCGTCTTATCCACTACACCACCCGTTCACGTTCCCGATCAGTGAGAGAACTGTTATAAAGACCTCTATTCGGCTCCAAATCCCGCACTTTCACCTAAAACTTTAAACACGTAAAACTTTACAGATATCGATTTTTTAAAAACGACAAGCAGATTCGGAATCAGCGTGAAATTCTGCGTCTGGCTTATCTAATTTGGCCATATCTTACTGTTGCCTTTCCCTTGTAAGCCTATTTCGGGTTTTCGGATGGGTTTCCGGCCGAACACACTTTTCGGACCTTTCCCGGGACTATTCCTCAGTTGGAGCTAGGGCAGATCAAAAGCTCGTGCGCCGCCGGGACTCGAACCCGCGATCTTTCGCTTACCTAGCAACTATGTTAACCACAACGCACTGGATCTCCCTTACTCCAGAGGGAATTAACTTCCCTCCTCTCTGGACGAGTTCCACACGTCTCGATTTATAAGCCTGGGATACGCACGAAATTAGGTATGAAAACCTTAACCAGCATTGCAGAGCTCATCCTTCCGTGGCCACCATTTGAAACTAGAGCAAAGTGGTACTAGTCTAGAACTATGCTGGCCAAAGAGTTGAACCTAGAGCAGATCAAAACCTGTGCGCCGCAGGGACTCGAACCCGCGATCTTACGCTTACCGTCTTTACTTCGTCCGCTCGCTTCGTCGCTTACTGAGCTCTGAAGTAAGGGGATAAAGAGCTCTGAAGTAAGGAGATAATAGTTAGCACAGTTGGTCGCGGTTGGTTGGTTAGCGAGGGAAAGGTCGCGGGTTCGAGTCCCGGCGGCGCACAGGTTTTGATTTGCCCTAGGTCCAACTCTTTGGCCAGCATAGTTCTCGACTAGTACCACTTTGCAGAACAAAACAATGACCATTTTGCTACAGTATATATTTTGGCGACTGACTTGCCTTTGCCCAGCTCCAGCCCCAGCTTCTTGAGTTCAAATTTCCCTCAAACCTACCTCGAAGAATTCTTTTCTTTTCTTTCATTTCCCCATTTTCCCTTCTTCAACCGGATATCGAATTTTCTCGAAAAAGCGCTCACCATCGGGCACTAATGAATTTTACAACTCTTCCCAAAAAAAAAGTCCAAAATGGAAAAGAAATTTTTTCTTTTTTCCTCAAAATCGCCTTTAATTCTCTGAGTCAAAATGTTTTCAAATTTAAATTTTATTTCAAATTTTCAGATATTCAAGCAACAAATTATTGCCTAATACACTAATTTATTCGTTTTTATTCCACGCAAATCTCAAAAATGGACTTCAACATAAAGAAAATGGCCAGCGATGCGAGCGGTTTTTTCAGCCGCGCGAAACAGGTGGGGAATTTCAAATGGAAGAAGTTTAAGTTAGATAATTGTTGCTAGATAGTCTTAAAATGCTGTAAAGTCCAATATCTGATTTGATTACAGTAATTTTTGCAAAAATTAACATTGACTTTTGTCGGCTGAATACTTTTTCTCTTACTGGATCCTGGTTCGTTTCCACCTCTTTACCATTGGTAATCCAACGTTGAGCTCAAATATCTTGGTGTCAGGCTGTCCAATTTCAATAGTTTTTGTACCAATCGACAGAGAAAGACTTGGCACATCTAATGATACCAAGAACATTTAGATTGGACACCCCAACACCAAGATATTTGAGCTCAAAGTTAGACAATAGCAAAAGGGGGCGAGGCGTGTATCAAATGTCCCACAATCCTAGGTCAGAGAGGAGCAGGCTAGGTTCGAACCTGCCTTGGCTTTAGACAAGTTATGCCTGGCCTAGCCTTAGCCTAGCCTTGTTAGAGATGTTTAAAAACATGCCTGACCTGACTCTGCTATGGTTTAGACTCAAAAAATACCTAAAGCCTGACCTGAACTTTGACTTTGAACTCAAATATCTTGGTGTTGGGCTGTCCCATTTCAATACTCATGGTATCATTAGATGTGCCAAGTCTTTCTTTGTCGATTGATAGAAAACTATTAAATTTGGACAACCCAACACCAAGATATTTGAGCTCAAAGTTAGATTGCCAAGGACAAAGGTGGCGGGGCGTGTATAAAAGTTCTTTCTGGTCCTCCCCTTTTGCCAATCCAACTTTGGGCTCAAGTATCTTGGTGTTGGGGTGTCCAATTTGAATGATTCTTGTACCAATTGACAGAGAAAGACTTGGCGCATCTAATGATACCAAGAACATTTAAATTGAACAGCCCAAGACCAAGATATTTGAGCTCAAAGTTAGACAATAGCAAAAGGGGGCGAGGCGTGTATCAAACGTCCGATAAACCTAATTTTAGACGATAAGTAACAGACGGTAATTTTCAAGTAAGCCTGCTAGGCTAATGTGCAAAAAGTTTTCGATTTCAGTACACCGAGGAGACTTTTCTGAAAGCCGAGCGCACCGAGTTGGATCCACACTTCGAGGCGCTTCTCTTGAGAGCCGACAAAACCGAGGAGCACACGAGGAAATTGTTGAGTTGTATCGAGAGCTATCTACAACCAAATCCAAGTAAGTTTTCAAAAAAAGTGTTGAACCAGTTTCTGACCTAGCTTGCTGGAGGGTTTGGGTTTGGGTTTGCCAAGTATCAGGCTTAAACCTGGCCTCTAGACTCGGCCCTAGAGTCAGCTGAAGGATCGCTGGCCTGGAGTCAGCTGGAGGACCGCTGGTTTGCTTGTTGAGCTGGATTAGTTTGACAAATTCCTGAGCGTTCATATTGATAGATCTATTTCCCCTGTTACCAGTGTGCTTTCCCCGATAACTTTCTTGTCTTTAAAATGTTCCACATAAGCCTCAGTACTCGCGAAAGCTTTTTACAATTTGAACTATGGATATGCTCAATGCTTTAGCTTTTACAAACCTATTTTAGGGTCATTTATCACTTGCAGCACTTGCAAAAGCTCTAGCATAACCAAAAAAGTAAAAATTCGGCTTTTGGCTTTCTCAGAGCCAATATTTTAGCACTAAACCTATAGTTTTTACTGATTTCAGGGTCGAAGAAAGCTTTAGAGAGTCTAGCAAAAAGGCTCAAAAAGGCCAAAAAGCCCAAAAAGGCCAAAAAGGTCAAAAAAAGAGCTCTATTGATCTTTTCCAGGAGAGAATGTTGGAAAAGAAGAAAAAAAGGGGGTGAAAAATGAGAGACGAGTCCAAATGTGTGCATTTTTTCGCCATGTTTGAGCATCTTTTAGGGGAAATCTCTCCCGGGGGCGTTCTCACTAATGGAAGCCAAAAAAAGGGGAAAAGATGACGAGTGATGGAAAAAGAAAAGTTGCTCTCTTTTTTTTGGATCCACCCTTGAATAGCTTCGAGAAGTGATATTTCCAAGGGGAGAAGGCTCAATTTGCATGTGGAATATCTTGTTGATAAGAGTAATTGAGGCTAAAGGGGTCCGAAATCAATGATGAAAATTTCCAAATTTCAGCCGTTCGTATGGAAGAGGTCTTCTACGAGAAACTCGATCTGAAAAAGGACAATGGACGCATGAATAATCTCGAGCATTTGGCACAAACGATGATTGAGGCGGGGGAAGAATTTGGACCGTCGACACCATACGGTTTGTATGAAGACCGTGTCGCCATTAGCAAAATTCCCAGTCTGATTAAGAAGCCCAAGTCCAGCAATTACAAATGTAACATTTATAACTTCTAACTCTAGGCACCGCGCTGCTAAAAGTTGCACAAACTGAGCAGAAGATCGGCCAAACCGAGAAAGAATTCGTCGCCCAATCCGCCAGCCACACCCTGCTACCAATTCGACGATTTCTCGAAGGAGACATGCGGACGATCCAGGTTTGTGAAAAGCTGGAGCCCAACTAGAGATCCTAGATAACTTTCTTGTGAAAATAGATTTATTAGACCGCAATTGGTCCACGAGTGGACAAAAACACGCAAAATTCCGAGTGCTTCAAGAAATAACAATAAATTGATGAAAGCCATGGTAGAAATCTGAAAACAACAGGCAAACCGCCGAAGCAATTCCACCAATTATTAAAGAAATCTCGACGAAGTGAAGGAAATGAAAGAAAAACAACGAACGACATTATTAGTGATAACAAACTAGGAATTTGTCAAGACTAGCCAATTAGAAAAGAAAAGCGATGAGGGATTGATGAAGAGAATAATGTATAGACCAAGATACGAAGCAAACGACAATGGTGAGAAATGACATCTAAAAACATTATCAGAAATAGCCTAGAGTAACGATTTTACGAAAGAAAGTTGACAATAGAATAAATGGGGGTGATATCTAACTTATTCCTCGTTGCTTTTTGCCGCTGGAGTGGCTGGCGGGGTCATCATTTTCTCCTCTCTGCGCTCTTGTTGTCGATGATGTTGCTGACGTTGTGGACGACTTTCATTGCTGTTGCGACCACCGTGACGAGGAGCAGAGTCACCGGCACCAATCTAAACAAAAGTGATTACAGAGTAATGAAACAGGATTTACTTGATAAATTTCTCTAAAAATCAGCTCTTACCTCAGTTCCATGCTTCGCTGAGTGTGCATAATCTCCATCAGCTGGACTTTTGTGACGCTCATTGCGATGCGTACCAAAGCCGCTCACCTAATCAAGAAACATGATGATACCTGAGCAAAGAACATACCTTGGCCGAATAGGAGATTCTAGTGTTTGAGGAGTTGCTCAATCCCATGCGCGCGTACTTGTCGGTGAGCCGTCCCATAGACGAGTTGTTGTTGGCTGGGTAGTCGTAGTTGGGCATGTGCTGATATCCAGCGCGGCGTCGCATCTCTTCTAATTGCGATGATGAGAAGTAGTGAGCAGGGGGATAAAGGCCAGAGTGTTGTGCCGATGTTGCTGCCAAATAATGTTGATAAGCCGCCAACGAAGCATAATCCTAAAAATACAAATTGTCTAGTCAAAACAAATACTTGCGCCACAGTACCCAGATGTTTTATACCCTGATTTAGCTACAACAACATCAAAACTCACATAATTCTTCATAGCCATTGATTGTCCATAATCGAATACACTTGACCCGTTGTTATTCTGAGCTGTGATGGGTGTCGGCGGTTGATGTTGATTGAAATTCTTCGTCGGCAACAATGGGAAAGCATTCGTGAAGTCACTTCTGCCTAAATAACACAATTAGGTACAACAAAATCTTGTCTCACTTCTCCATGCATTCTGCTGTTCTGCTGGTGTCTTCTGGGAGCTCGGGTCGCTAACAACAAATGCGCTTGGTGACGGAAGTCCCATCAGCATGTAGGGGTGTGGAGCCGGAAAGAAGTACTTGTATCCCTCGTTTGACACGATCTTCCCTTTCGTCGCAACTTTGTAATCTAAAAGGAAAAACGGCTACAGAGTGGAGAAACGTTAACGCACCATCAGCTTTCGGATAAGTGTAGACTCGGTGAAACGCGTCTCCAATCTTCACTTGACGTCCTTTGATTTCAGGAATTTGATCTCGAGCCCTCTAAAAATAAAATTATTCTGGTTTAACATCAATAGACTAATCGGTTAAATTGTGAGTGTAAGTCATTTACAAGCCATCCGCCACTTTGGATATTGACACTTTAAAGGGTTTCTATGTGTCAGTCTCTAATAGGGTTGTTTTAAACACGCAGACTTTCTCCATTTAAACTCGATTTTCCTTCAAGAAGTTGCCCTGATGGAGCTTTTGGATCAAATTTCTAACCATAAACTAAAGCTTCACTCCTTCTGTGACAAGCAATAAGATGCTAAAAGATTGTTTTATCAATCAATTGATCAATTACCAACCATCAACGCAAATTTCGCGATACAAGCCTTTTTCAACTTGTTTCACATCGTTAAATCCATCAAAGTGCTCACCAAACTATGGGCGGCCTCCGTGCTTGTCATTAGCAAAAACTCGACGAATCCAAAACCCTTGGATGTTCCGTCTTGCTCACGAATGATCTTTACTTTCCTGATTTCTCCACAATCGAGGAAGGCTTTGTGAAGATCCTCCTCGCTAGTCTAAATTTAAAACATTAATGCCATGATTGGAAGCAAATTTACAGATCTTGTGGTATATTAAGCAGGTTCTAAACGTGACCAAATCTAATTGTGTTACCGATAGAAAATTTGTAATCGTTAGCCCCTCTGAACATTCTACAAACAATTTGGTGCTAGGGCGGTTGGGGCACTCTAAATTTTCCCAAATGTAGTTTTTGTAGGGTAATTGATGACACTGATCACGAAAACAAACATTTTTAAGTTATGTTTTCAATTAAAAAACATGCATTGCCGTTATATTGGGTAGTTTGTGGCCCTTAAGAGGGTCGTTGGGTTGGGTATTAGTCAGGCACCTACATTTTTCTAGGCTTTGGCTCCGCGACCGCACTACCCAGGCTAGCCTGTTTCTCCTAGGGCTGATGTGAGTTTCGTCCCGGAAGCACGTGGCTCCTAGGCTATCGCCTAATTCTCATACGGCCGAGGTGTTACTCCAATATATGTTTTTTAATTGAAAACATCTTAAACATGTTTTTTCGTGATCAGCTCCACCAGTTACCCTAGAAAAACTACATTTTGGAAAAAACTGCCTCAGTGCTAACAATTTTCCTTTCCCAAACTTTTCTTCAACGGTCAATTAAGCACCATCTTTGAGTGCAAAATCTTTCAAAAGTTGATCCGTTCAAATCTTTATGGCTGCAAAATATTGTCGTCACCACACGACAGACTTTAGTAGCACTGAACTTTATAGCAAACACCACCTCAGGCGAAAGTCCACCGACGAAGATACTTTTCGGCACATGCTCGTAGGCGGGCGGAGCGACAAAAATTGGCGATCCAGGCATGTACTCGTCCAATTTTTCCTGTAGATACGTGCAGTCACTCGGACTTGACGACATCTCCTGAAAAAAAAAAATTAGATCTAATTGCAATAAAAACAAAGAAAGAGAAAGCAAAACTCGACAACATTTCGCACAAAAAGTTCAAAGTTTTACTAATTTTGTGATGGTTTCGCAAAGTTTCGAACAAAAAGGGAGATTCGCTCGGTTTTAAAAGCTATCCATCAAAGGAAATTTGAAATTAGCCGTTCACGCAGCAAAAGTTTTCAACAAAACGCAGTTTCAAAGGATTTTGATGTGTATTACTCAGCATTCTACACGAAAACCTCGATTTGGGAGCTGTTTCGTTTTTGATTTGAAATGAAACTAATCAAAATATGATTTTGGAACAAACTAACAACTCTAATATCAATAAAACTGAAAATCGGCTAAAAAATGAAAGTTTTGAAGAATAAGGAAGAATATCTAATCCGGGACTTTATAGTAAAAAAAAATTTTCCTTAAAAAGAATATTCAGCTGATTAGCTGAATACTCGTTGCTTGGTAATAAATTTGAAATAAGGCCAACTTGTTGCAAAATCGGAAGCATTGATTTTTTCTAAAGTTGTTTTTGCTTAGAAATTTCAAAAGTTGGTCAATTTTCTTCAATTAAAATGCGAAATATTTTCAGAAAGAGCGAAAAGTGCTGCAGAGCAAGCGTTTGGACCTGGACGCGTGCAAGAGTCGGCTGAAAAAGGCGAAAACAATGGAAACACAGACAGCGGTCAGTCGCTTTCTAAAAGGCATTAAGCTAAAAAAAGCTAAAATTCTGGGAGTGGGATAAATGCGACCTTTTTTTTTGCGCACCCGGACATTTTCGCACCTTTTTTCCGCACTTAGCCCATTAGCGCACCTTTTTTCGCGTTTTAAAGAAGCTCTAAAAAGTAATATTAACCAATATCTATTCCAAAAGTTGTTTTTCTAGGTGATTTTAGGGCGTAGAATCGAAATTTTGACATATCAGAGCTTGTGGAAACAAACGGACGGAGTTATACAAAGAGAAAAATCGACAATTTTCTGTAATTTGACCCAGCCGTTTTGTCTTTCAAATTGGTTCCACACGCTCTGATATTAGCTTTTTAGAGCTTTTTTAAAACGCGAAAAAAGGTGCGCTAGTGGGCAAGGTGCGGAAAAAAAAGGTCGCATTTGTCCCACTCCCAAAATTCTCTAAAAATTTCATGAGCATTAAAATATTTAGGGAAACAGCCGCACCACTGGCGGTTTTACGGTGGAACAGGTAAAAAAAATTGTGTAGTGGTGTAAAATCGTGCATAGAATGGTTTCCGTTTTCTTAAAAGTGCTCCATACAAATGAAGTGGCCAATTTGTACTACCATAATCAAGTTTACTGTAATATGGGTGTCTTTTAGGCGGAAGCCGATTTGCGAGTGGCACAAGCCGAATTCGATAAACAGGCCGAGATCACAAAGCTTTTGCTTGAGGGAATACAAACGGCACATGTAAGTTGGAGGGGAAAAGGTTAAAGAAGTCATAAAAGTAATGAATAATCAAATAATCAAATGCTTTTGATGTAACAATTACATTAATTGTCGGGGAAACTTCGTAGCAAGTTAGAATTTGATATTTTCGTATCCTTGTAAATTTACCGCCTGATAATTGATCCCCCTTTGTAGCTCTTTACAATTAGTCAAGATATTCAATTATCTAAGGTACCAGCTAAAGTCAAGAATACGAAAATATCAAATTCTAACTTGCTACGAAGCTAGGAAAGCTATTTTGGCCTGCGACCAGACCTCAAATGTTGTCATGAAAAGTTCTATCAAATTATAAAATTTTATATCTGAGTAAAAGATATGAAAGATAGAAGATAAATAGGAAACTTCATAAAACATCGTAAAAGCCTTTTAAGAGGGGACAGAACTTTTCACGTACCCTGTAAATTAGCCTTGGTTAGAAGTCGACTTAACTTTGACCATTCACCTGGCTCTGGACCTAAAGATGGTCAGAATTCTAGTCACAAGCCCTAATTCTAGGGCTTGTGAGCCAAGTCCAAGTCACGCTTTAGCTATTTTTTAAGACTAAACCATAGCAAAGCCAGGCCAGGTCTGTTTTTGAACATCTCTAACAAGGCTAGGCCAGCCATAACTTGTCTAAAGCTAAGCCAGGTTCCAACCTAGCCTGTTCCTAGGATTGTGGGACATTTGATACACGCCCCGCCCCTTTTGCCATTGGCAATCTGACTTTGAACTCAAATGTCTTGGGCTGTTCAATTTAAATGTTCTTGGTATCATTAGATGCGTCAAGTCTTTTTCTATCGATTGGTAAGAAAACCATTTAAATTGAACAGCCCAAGACCAAGACATTTGAGCTTAAAGTTCGATTGCCGATGGCAAAGGGGCCGGGGCGTGTATAAAAGGTCTTTCTGGTCCCGCCCCTTTTGCCAATCTAATTTTGAGCTCAAATTTCTTGGTGTTGGGCTGTTCAATTGAAATAGTTTTTGTACCAATCGACAGAGAAGGACTTGGCGCATCTAATGACACCAAGAATATCGAAATTGAACACACCAACACCAAGATACTTGAGCTCAAAGTTGGATTGCTAAGGACAAAGGGGGCGGGGCGTGTATCAAATGTCTGATAACCCTGCCCTAGAGTCATTCTGGAGCCATCTGGCCTTAATACCTTTGCATATCCAATCTCTAACTTGCAGAACGGTCAACTCAAATGTTTACGTGACTTTGTCGAAGCTCAGATGTCCTTCTTCGCCCAAGCACATCAACACATGGCCGATTTGCAGCGAGAACTTTCGGGGTGAGTGCAGAACAACGGTAGAGATTGACGCAATCCAATTTTCTCAGTTGGCCTTTAAAACTCTCGTAGTCTTGTCTCGTGATAGCCAGAGTTTCGATTGTGCTCGATACCGTTGCCTGTATTTTCAGCTCCCTCTCCGCCGACTCTGGCATCTCGCTGTACTCGGGCCACGACGATTCAGCCTTCAACTCTCCGCGACAATGATTCCCAATTACTCACCAAACTGTGCTGTGCTCTCCAGATTTTCATTTAGTGCTAACGATTTTGATTTGAAGTTGATTTTCGGTTTCTAAAGTTGTGCAACAGTTTGCAACAGCAAGTGATTCTTAAATTCCGAAATCTTTTCCCAAACCTGGCTCAAAATTTTTAATGACATCCAGAATTTACTTTTTGTTCAATGCGTTTTCGATTTAACTCAATTTTGTCTACTTTTTAAAGAGCTACAGTAATCTCTTGATTCTAGATTGCAATTCTTGCCTGAATATCTTTTCAAATCGTGATGTGCGTGCCAGAATTGCAAATGGCATTGTTAATTTATCGATATGTTTTAAAAATCCACGATTTCTCAAGTCAAACTCAACTTACCGTAACCCGCGTGCAATTCGGTCAATGTGGTGCTTCTGTGTAGTTCAAAATTGTGCGCTGCGGTCCAGCTTTGCAATTTTTTCGGTTTCTCGAGTGTTTTTGCATTGAAAAATCGTCGTATTTTGATTTGTATTATGATTTGGCTACCAAAAGTTCACCAAATAGAGTTTCCCCAATATCTTCATCGGGTTTACTGTATTTTAAAGTGAAATTAACTATGTAATTTGAAATTTTTCCTCATTCAAACACAAAAATCTGGTCTTGCCTGAGAGAAAATAAATAAATCGAGCTTAAAAAAAAATAAAAATGCAACTCGAAAAGCTAAAAAAACTGACAAAATGTCAAATCTTTAGCACTACCACAGTTGGAAGCCACTTTTTCTCTTTAAACCCACTTTTTCTAACGTAATTTTATGCGTAGATTCCGAAAAACACAACCAGAAGTTGCGAAAATGCGTTTGAAGCGGAGTTTTAGGGCTCCAAAGTGCGTGCTCAGTGTGATGGGTACACATAGGAAAGAGGTCTAAACACGGACTCTCAAAATATCTTTTAAACTCAAAAACACTTCTTCTGGCATAATTTCAACTACTGATTACATTTCTGAATAAATAAAAATGTAAATAATAAAAAATAAGAAAATAGGAAATAAAAATAAAAAATTTTTTTTTTCTAAATTTTCATGTGGTCCCCCACATGATTCAAAATCTCAAAAATATTTTTTCAATTTCTTTTGTTTCTACGAGTTAATTTATGTTAGAAAATGAATCTTTAGTGACTGAAAATGGTTTTGGCTCTAGTTTTGAGCTTGAAAAGTGCCCTAATAGGCGATAACTTGGACTATAGAAGGTGAAGTACACAACAGAAGCCCCGAAGCGCCGAAACTTGGCTTAAAACGCCTTTTCCTAAGCTCTCGTTTCGTTTTTCAAAATCTACGCATAAAACTAGCCCAGAAAAAGTGGCTCAAACTGTCGTGGTGACAAATTTTCTGTAAAAAGTTCATTTTCAACTTTTCAGAACACTTTCTCTTGGAAATGCGCAAATCCTTGTGACGAATACTTTCGGGAAATCGCTAGGATCGATGCCTGGAGCGGGAAAAGTGAGTATAAAAAGCACTTTTTCTAAGCTTTTTTCTAAGCCTTTTTCTTTTTGTCCTCTTTCTACCGTAATCTTGTCTTTATTTTTATCAAATCCATTCACTTTTTTGATCTTTCACACATCGTTTATTCAAAGAATTAGACGAAAAAAATGAAAAAGATGAAAAAGAAGAGAAATTAAACAAATTAGACGACTCATAGACTCACAAATAACACAATTAAACGAAAAAGTGGACAAATTAAATAGAAATTGAGACAAGATTACGGTAGAAATGGGGAAAACGGTTTCGAAAACGAATTGAAAAAGAAAGGAGCACTCTTTAAAGATTTATTTGATTGATTGACTGGCTGAGAATCTCATTTAAGCATACTGTAGCCTTAAAACGTCATCCTTGAAATCTTTTTTAAAAGATATCCTTATAAAAAGCGATCTTTATATAGAAGAAAAATAACTAAAGCTTTTAAGCCAAATGGTTAAATCGAGCTATAAAAAAACATTTTCAACAAAAACGAGCATAAAAAAACGTCAAGTTCTCTCAAAGTTTAACGAAAAAGATGTATAACTTGAGACTTATTTTTAATCAAAAATTCCTTATAAAAAGTAATCAAGAACAGCTAAGAAAGCTAAAACTTTCAAATAAAAACTTTAAAATAAAAACTTGACTTTTAAACTTTCTTGGATAGTTTTGAAACTTTTGAAAATATTAATAAGCTTCACAATCGTTTCCTCTGGTTTCACCAACTCCTCATTTTCGCTTTCGAGTATTTTATGGCATCAACAATTTCGGACAATGTTCGAACATCTTTAGTTGAAATAGTATCATTGACAAGGATATAATTAAGTGAATTCGTGCTCTGAACAACATTTTGTTTTAGAAAACTATCCACCTTTTAGTCACAAAAGCATTGTATCAAATCAAAAGTTAATGCAACAGCGATTATCGTTATATCGAGAAAATCGTTAGATCGAAAGCCATTATATTCAACTTTAGAATCATTAGAATCGACTTAAAGTATTTTGTTAAGCACGCCCTGGACTGTAGGTATAAGTCGTCTTATCGACCAAATCGTTATATCGAGAATCGTTTATCGAGAGTCGTTATATCGAGAGTCAACTGTATAAACTATAATAGTTTATAACCAGTTCTGTTCCAAGCTAGGCTCACATAAAGTAGCCAGATTCTCTATCATTTTCAGTCAATGGACCCGGATGATTTGTCCACGAAACAAGCTCGCGTTTTGATGGATTACGATGCGGTGTTGCCGAGTGAGATCACTGTTAAGGAGAATGATGTGAGTTCTTTAGCTTATCAATCAGTTACTGTACTGGAACGTGCTTTAAGACCAAGATCACTATTTATTCGTCAAATTGCAGATCTTGATCGTCTACCGTCTCCCCGGGATGGATCCCGAATTCGTGATGGCCGAAAAGGGTGGAAGTCGGGGGAAAGTGCCGATCTCATACTTGGAGATTCTTTGAAACAAACTCGGTTTTCTAAAAACTGCCCCAAGCTACTGTAAATTATTGATTGTCCTACAGATTGCCCCATAGATTTTCTGACAGTTTGTCCTACAGATTGTTCTACAGTTTGTCCCACAGATTGTCCTCTAGATTGTCCTACAGATTGTTCTACAGTCTGTTCTGCAGGTTGTCCTCCAGATTGTCTTACAGTTTGTCGCACAGTTTGTCCTCCAGATTGCCCTACAAATTGTCGCACAGTTTGTCCCACAGATTGTCCCACAGTTTGTCGTACAGTTTGTTCTACAGTTTGTCCCACAGATTGTCCTCTAGATTGTCCTCCAGTTTGTCTTACAGGTTGTCCTCCAGTTTGTCCTCCAGTTTGTCCCACAGATTGTACAGATTCCCAAGTTTTCATCAAAAAATGAAAAATTCTATAATATTTTCAAAAATTTCTATCTTTGCCCCGATCTCACTTATTTTTGAGTCAATTTTTAGCGTGACTTCCAAAATGTTCAATGTTTTTGCGATTTCCCCAGTTTTCCCTAATTCATTGCGAAAAAACTGATGACAAATGTGAAAATTTATTCTGGAGCAAATGTAAAAACGATAAAAACATAGAAAATACGTTATTTTGTGTAATAAACATTTAGAAAACATTAGAAAGTCTATAAAGATACAGTAAAAGAGCAAAAAGATAGAGCCAAAATTGTAAAAATCGTCTTATCACAGAAATTTACAATAGAATCATCGTGGAGATCAATAAATTTGCATTTAAGTTCAACAGATTTGCATTTATGCATTTCGCATTTAGCTTTAGATCTAAATTACATTTTGATCACATTTCGATTACATTTCGATTTACTTTTAAAAAGCTACAATAACCCAGGGAAATAGTGAAAGCTTAGAGCTTAGAGTAAAAATAAAATACAGTACTGGACAATGAAATATCATATTTGAAAAACGATCGTCACTTTTGCGCGTCTGTAACTCCCTTGTCTTTGAGTTTAAACTATTAGTGTTATACATTTTTTGAAAGCTCTTTTCAAGGGCTACACAATGGTAATATTAATATTTAGAAATACGGTAAAGACAATGGAGTTACAGACGCGCGAAAGTGACGATCTTTTTTCAAATATGATATTTCATTGTCCAGTAGTGTAGATTAGTCATGGTCATCAATGGCTGTAGATTCAAAGCAACAAGCTAGATGCTGTACGATTGTGCACATAGAGAACACTTAGACCATTCAAAGCTAACCAAGTAACCAAAAATTTCAGTTAATTTCAGTTAATTATCCAGCGCTAGTTCATTAGAAGGTTTAGAAATCCATTTCGATTAAAAAGTAACCAAATTTAGAGCAAAATTCTCATTTTTACCAAAATTTTGTTATATTTTCAAAAATTTAAACAAATTTAAACAATTTAACAAATAAAACTCAAATTTGAACACTTTAGGCAAATTTTTAAAGAAATTTAGCTGAAAAACTCGAAACTCTTAAAGTCGCAGGGCTTCAAATGGCTTCAAATGGCTCCCATTTAAGCAAAAAAGCTCACCAGGGCGGTTCAAACAGCGCTCAAACAAGGCAAAACGAAGATCGTAATGGAAAACGCAAAAACATGAACATGAGAGACATGAAACCATAAAGGATTAAACCTTTGGAGATTTTTCCTGGAATGAGTCGATGAGTCGACGCGCACGCGGACAAAAATCTTTCGAATAGGAGATGAATGGGAGGTGATTGTTGAAGACGAGCGAGCCTTTCAGATGCTTCTCTCGACGCATCGGATAGGCACTGAAATAGGGGAATAGTAATCGAGTAAAACACTGAGATTTATTTGTTATTGTACTAATTTTGCTGTTACATGGCCTATTCGATCGTTTTTTTCAATTGTAACCGGGAAAAGTTGCGATACTGTGATTAGACAGAGACGCCTTTTGCCCATAAGTAGCTGATTCGTTCAAAGTAAGTTGGCAAGAAAGTCAGTAGACTCAAGGCAAGTAGACTTTTTTTGTCTCTGATTTCTTTAACTCTTTGAGCGCTCAAAAAGGATTGTTTATTTCAATCCTCTCCTATTGATCTTGATCTTCTATTACTCTTGATCTTCTATTGATCTTGATCTTCTATTGATCTTGATCTCCTATTGATCTTGGTCTTCTATCGATCTTGATCTCCCATTGATCTTGATCTCCTATTGAACTTGATATCCTATTGATCTTCTATTGCTCTTGATCTTTTATTGCCCCTTAAAATATTGAAAAGCTCCTATATTGAACAATTTAAATGAAATTCGTTTACTTTCTAGCTCTATTTTTATTTCTTTAGAGACTCCTCAAACGTTGCTCAATGACTTCGACATCTCATTTTAGATCTGAGGTCGAAAACTGGCTTCGCGCTTTGCCCAATAAATAGCAGAATGTGATGCTTAAAAATGGCGATTTTCTTGAATAAATGCATGTTTTAGCTTTTCAGAAATCACTGTGCAAAGATTTTTTACGAACTTTCTTGCCAACCTAATATAATACTTGGCAAAATTAGTCTTTTACGTCAGATTTTCTAGCCCAATAAAACTGAAAAGGTAAAAGATGTAAGGACCAAGTAATGCTGTACGAATTGACTATCTTCTCTTAGCTAAGACACGAAACTAAGACACGAAACTAAGACACGAAACTTTGTAACTATTTATAAAGTTTTAACGATATTTCTCAACTCACCCATTCTTGGCGAATCCGAGAATTGTGCTCTGGAAATAGGGATAATCAGCGATTGTCTTCGAGTCGCCGAAAATGTACTGAAGATCGGAGCAGTGAGATGCGTCTAAATATAAAAAAAATATAACAAATAAGCCAAGGTGTTTAGAAAACGATTTAAGGAAGGAATTTTATTGCATTGAACTTTTTTTTAAACCCACGATATCCTTGATTGAATGAAGGAGCGGTGATATTAAAAGTGTAGAGGTAAATGTTTGGCGGATTAGTGGCTGACATTAGACGGTGGATCTCGTCCAGAATTGGCACGTGAAAGGCCAAATCGGTCATCGACTGAAAGATTAATGAATAATGAGCAGATTGATCTTGTGAACTGTAAACTGTAAAGATGTGTAACTGTAAACTGTAAAGATAGTCTTGTAAACTGCAAACTCTAAAGATTTTTGCATTCAAAAAACCCACATTGACCACATTTTCGAACCAATAACTTTGAACATCTTCTCCTTTTATTTCTTCTTTCGTATAGAATTCTTTCAATAAATCAATTTCTTCTTTTTTCTCGATTCCCATGTATTTTTGAACGGTTTCCTCGAAGCGTTTAGGCGTGAAATCTTTTCGAGAAAAGCCATAGGCAAATAGGTTCTCTGAAAATGTGATAGGTTAAGGAATGAAAATACTATGAAGAAAATTACAGAAATTATACGGTTAAGGCTGGCTGTAAAGTTACAATGAAGGACTCTTGTTTGGGTTCGGGTCCAGTAACGATTAACAATTAATGAGTAAATTAATGCTATTTTCAGTGTTCTTATGTGTCGCAAGATCTTGCGAAATTTCGTAAGATTTTGTTGGTGAGCCCGACTTGCGAGCTTGCAAGTTATTTTTCTGAACCCGCCTTGCGAGCTTGCAAGTTGTGTTGGTGAGTCTGACTTGCGCCTAACATCTTGCGACTTGCGAAATTTCGCATGATCTTGCTTATGGTGAAGCCCATGGCTTTCCTAGACAGTGAAATTTCTTTTGAAATCACTCACCAAAGAAAGCCCATTCATCACTCGTCACTCCAATCAAATAGTCGTGTCCTCTCGTCGATCGATTCATCAATCTATAGTGTTCGGGGAAGAAATGCCCATCCGTGAAGAGAACCCAGTTCTTCTCGTGTTTTTCAAACTGAATTGAAATTGAAAATTGAAAAATGAAATTGAATTGAAAAAAGCAGTTAAATTAACAGAACTTTGTTGAGTCATAGAATGGCAAAAGTTTCTCAAAGTCATAGAACTTTGTTGATACAGGATGGGCCAAAATTAGGGGCCAGGCGAGAAACCCGAAAGTGACCCTAAGCCTGATTTGCACCAGAAGAAGTTTATGCTCTGCGTTTTCTGGGATATGGAGAGAGTGGTGTACTGGGAGTTGCTGGATAGCAAGAGACCGTTAATGCAATCAAATACAGTGGACAGTTGGGAAAGGTGAATGAGTCCCTGAAGAAGAATAGGCCCTCCAAGTCAAAGATCCTTCTCCTCCACGACAACGCGCGCCCTCATGTTGCAAAACTGACTAGTTCTAAAATAAATAGCCTTGTTTGGGAACTTTTGTCGCATCCCCATACAGACCTCGCCCCTTTTGATTACTATTTATTCCGGATCATGAGTAATGAGCTTGCGGGAGAACACTTCGATTCGAAAGAAGCAGTCAAAAATTGGCTTTGAAAGTTTTTCGATTCAAAACCAAAATCCTACCACGAAAGAGGAATCCGCAAATTGCCTGTAAAATGGGCAGAAGTCGTAATGGAAATTATTTGGAATGAATTTATGATAATGGAGATAATGGAAATTATTTGAAATGAATTGATGGTTTTATGTTGAATAAATTTTCGTTCAAAGTTCTGCAGTTTTTTGAATTCACCAACCCAATATTAGTCAACAAAGTTCAAGCTTTTCTTGTAGCTGATTGGTTGTAATGTACAGTTATATAAGTTCTATCTATTCACCTGATCAACATTTTCCACTTTAGCTAATGGGGCTTCGTTGAGGCACTTGAAAAGCACTTCGTCATCGAAATCCTCATTGAGATCGATATTGCAAAGCTGAAATTGCAAAGCAAATTGAATTTCCGATCTTACTGTGCTTTTCAAAAGCAAATTCGATGCACCGCACAATGTGGTAATCGTAGATTAAATGCTAATTCGAGTAATTGTCAATCGTCAATCGAATGTCAATGTCAATCATCAATCGATTACTGACCTCTTTAGCAGCGACAGCGCTCGGCGACACACCACTGCCCGTTCCATTGTAGCAGACTTCAACAACAGCCGACATCAGAATGACTCGATGGAAAAGTTCTGGAATATGTGGAAAATAACAAGTTGTTCCTTAAAAATATAAGATTTTCATATAAGCTTTAAAGATCGCTCACCTTTGTTGACATTCGGTGAAATGGAGAGCGCGTGCGCTGAGCAAGCTCCAGCTGACTGGCCGATGAGTGTGATGCGCTTCGGATCACCGCCAAATCTAGAATTTCTCAGCTATCAGCTATTAAATATCAAATAGCTATCTAGATATCAAAAATCGATAGTTTTTATATTTAAAAACAAACTCCTTGATATGTTTTGAGATGAACTGAAGTGCTAAATGAGTATCGTGAAGACCGAGATTCGCCGGGAAAAGTTTAGAACCGTCGACATGGAAAAACCCTGGAAACTTGAGAGGTTGAATATCTTGAAAACCAGTTGAAAAAATCAAAAAAAACGGAGTTAGTTGGATAACCCGGGAGTCGAACCCGGACCGTGTGGGGGGTAGACTGGCGCGCTCCCAGCTGCGCCACGGGGACAAAGAAGTTTGACCAAAAAAACCGCCATTAGACTGCACCACAGTGAAAAAGCCATCCCGAAAACTCCACTTTATCTTGTCACCGCAGTCTAAGAGCTGGTTTTTCTGGCCAGAATTTGTCCTCGCCTTGGCGCAGTCGAGAGCGAGTTTTTCTACTGATCATGCGGTCCGGGTTCGACTCCCGGGTCTTTCACCGAACTTCGATTTCTTCATTTTTTCTTTTAAATGACAAAACTACAATATATTCTAAGGTTTTCTAAAGAAGTTGTAGCTTTATTGGTGGTCAAGAAAATCCCCGTACAGACAGACAGACACTGCTCCTTTATATATAGTAAATGTAGCTTAGTTTACAGTAACCCTGTAAACAGTTACAGTAATTGCAAAATCGAGAATCCAAAATTTCAGAGGTACAGTAATTTTAGTCGAACCTAGAGTCAAATTCTTTGTTTCTCTGGGTTACAGTAATCCTAGAGCTTTTGGAATTACAGCAATTTCAAGGTTAAGGCTTCTGATGTTTCAGTAACAGTAACCCTAATGCCTGGAATAGGTCGATAGAGTAACTCTAGGTTACAGCTTAGAGTACTCCAAGTGAAAGAGTGGAAGGCTTGACCAATTCTTTCTTTGCTTTGGTCCATTTACGCACCAAGTGTCGACAATCGATATTGCAGTGTAACGACGACAAATCCCTGTTTCGACAAATTCCCCATATTCTCCACTTCGAACTGGTTTCCCGTCCCGAATTTGTACGCTCCACCGTGGATGTAAACGAGAACGGGGAGGAGTTCGTGGGAATACGCTTTCTGAAAAATGATTCATTTAATTGCTTGAGATTGATCTATTGGGTTGGGGAAAATGAGTCGGCGCCAAACTTTAAAGGGACTTTTTGCACACATAAAGCCTTCTTTAAACATACGTTTGGTTTCATCAAAAGGATCCACTATTTCTCTACAAAATGACTTTTGAGAGATTCCACAAAGCTTTTCTTTCGTGGAGTTTATGAACTTCCAAAGCTGGTTAAAATGGCAAAGAGTCCGACTCATCATTTGAACAGTTTCTTTCACATAAACCTTCTTTGGTGTTTATATAAAAAAGATAGAGCACATTGAATTACTTAAGTTGCCAAATTTGCAGGAAGATCCCACCAATGGTTTTTTCTAGATCACAGTTTGTAGTTTTTGTGAAAAAATGGCTTTTTCTTGAGCGGAGGCGCTGTTTGAATTTTCTTTTAAATGTCATTTTGTAGAGAATTAGTTAACCATTCTACTCATATCAAACGCATATTATTTGACGAAGTCGAATTGAAGTTTTAGACATTTTTTTCATTTTCGGCGCCGACTCATTCTCCCCAACCCAATAGTTGAATAAAGAGATCGATTTGCATTTCTTGTATCGGTGAAATTTTATTCTGAGCATTGATTCTTCAGTATTTACGGCGACTTCTTTTTGGTAGATTAACCTTCAAGCGCCAAGTTCAACCTTAATGAGCTCCGTGTTATATAAAATTTTGAAGCCCTCAATCTTGGCTACATTTATCTATTAAAAGAATTGTAGTCGAATGAAGTAAGCTGATTTGTGACTAAACTTTACCACTGTAATCTAGATGTAACTGATGACAGTGGAAGGCTTTTGAACATCGAAACCTTTGAACAATCAATCAAACAATCAAACAAAAAACAACTAACCGTTGGCCCGAAGACATTTAAAAACAAACAATCCTCGCTCGTTTCCTGATTGAGTTTCACTAAAAGTTTGCAAGTTTTTGCCGTGATTTAGTCAAATTTCAAGTCTGTCATAAAATTTCTTCATTCAATTAAGGTAAAGAACGAGAATTCATCGTGTTGTTCGACTTTGTTGTTAGAGCTGTTAGAAAACATTGTTAGAAAGCACAAACCTTTCAACTGTGGGCATTCTTTTGGTCGTTCGGTGAACAGGGATTTACGCCAGCTCGATTTCGCCATCGTTGCAAACTAAAATTTGGGGAACTTTACGAAATATGTCCAAGTCAGATCCAGATATTCTCCATATCAATTAGCTAGCTTCAATTGGCACTTCAATAGCCTCAATTGTACACTGATCGAGATCAAGTTCACTCGTTCAACTGATCCCTATGTTCGAAAATGCTCTTTAAACTCGGGTTCATTGCATTTACATTCCCACTTAAATGTTCAATGAACCCCTCACAATGATCTTTTTCCTATTTCCCCTAGTTTCCCGTCATTCTTTTTTTAGAATTTTCCTCGGAATCCACCCAAAAAGCTCGAAATTGACGGACAAAAAGCTGAGAATTCATGCGTTTTTGCATGAAATTCCCAACAAATTGGATGAAAGGGGTTTTTGAAGAAAAAATAAAGATTTTCGAAGAGCATTTTAAAGTTCAAATGGCTTATCGGCTCTTTTCCGTTGTCCAGGGTTTTTGAAAGAGTTTAAGGCAAAAATTTACCCAAAAATTTAAGCATAGTAACACCCAGAAAGATTGTGGGACATTTGAGATGGGTGCCGCCTCTTTGCTATTGCCAATTCAACTTTGAGCTCAAATAGCTTGGTGTTGGCCTCTCCAATTTCAATAGTTTTGGTACCAAACGACAGAGAAAGACTTGGCGCATCTAATGATACCAAGAACATTTAGATTGGACAGCCCAACACCAAGATATTTGAGCTGAAAGTTGGATTGGCAAAAGGGGCGGGACCAGAATGACCTTTTATATGCGCCCCGCCTCTTTGCCATTGGCAATTCAACTTTGTGCTCAAATGTCTTGGTGTTGAGCTGTTCAATTGAACTAGTTTTTGTACCAATCGACAGAGAAAGTCTTGGCGATTCCAGTGAAATTAAGAATATTTAAATTGGTCAACCCAAAGCCAAGATATTTGAGTTCAAAGTTAGTTTGCCAATGGCAAATCGTACAAATTGTAGAAAAAGAAGAAATTCAGTTGTAAATTTGGGTTTTTGGGATCGACCAATCGATTAGAAAAATTCATTTGAATGAATCTACCAAGTGGTCTAGATTTTTGATGAAATTGGAGACTTATCATTACTTAAACAAGCTTTAGAAGAGCTTCACATAGCTCAATAGCTTCACATAGCTCAATAGCTTCACATAGCTCAATAGCTTCACATAGCTCAATAGCTTCACATAGCTCAATAGCTTCACATAGCTCAATAGCTTCACATAGCTCAATAGCTTCACATAGCTCAATAGCTTCACATAGCTCAATAGCTTCACATAGCTCAATAGCTTCACATAGCTCAATAGCTTCACATAGCTCAATAGCTTCACATAGCTCAATAGCTTCACATAGCTCAATAGCTTCACATAGCTCAATAGCTTTACAAACCTGAAATCTCTCTGGTTTCTCTCCATATCGTACTCCCAAACGAGCTGAAATTGATCGTCCAAATGGATCAGTGCCAAGAGGAACACCCGGATGGAGGTGAGAAGTGGCAGAAGAAAGAACTTGGAATATGGAAAAGGTGATGAAGAAGAGAGATGACATCTGAAAAGGAATGATTGAGAAATGGGATACTGTTTCAACAAAGATATTGTGTCAAAGAGAGGCAACACTTGAAGATCTTATCAAATCATTACAATAATCAAGAACAAGGGATGTTTTAGTCAACAAGTTCATCTGATTATGAGTCTTAGAGTAAGTCAAGCTCACACCAGAGTCAGGCCAGAAGCCAGATTCAGCCAACAAGATTGTGCTAGAAGCAATTTTCTGAGCCAAGCCTGGTTCTTTCCTTGTCCAAAATCCCAGAGCCAGAGCCAGGGCCAGAACCAGGGCCAGAACCAGGGCCAGAATCAGGGCCAGGGCCAGAACCAGGGCCAGAACCAGGGCCAGAGCCCGGGCCAGAACCAGAGCCAGAGCCCGGGCCAGAACCAGGGCCAGAACCAGGGCCAGAGCCAGGGCCAGAATCAGGGCCAGGGCCAGAGCCAGGGCCAGGGCAAGAAGGCAGATCTAGGCCTGACTTCTAACTGAGCTCTGCTATGACTAGGATCTAGGAACACGTTTTTAACTGTTTTAACTGACTTATGTGCTAAACTAGGTCAAGCCAGGATTTTTTTTTGGTTTAATTTTGAATGGTTTAGCTTAAGCAAACTTGGCAATCCTCAAGCTGATCAGTTGAATGTTGATCAGTTTTATCGAAATGAACCCTGTGAAACTAGATTTGACCAAGGAAGGATTTGTCCCACTTGGTTTGAAATCATTTATGAAGAAATCAAACAAATTTGTGATCTGTAAACTCAAAATAGACCTGGTCCGCCCAAAATTTCAAACTTTGTGACCCAAAAAAGGTTGATTCTTTTGGTCTTTCATACAAAAATTACAGTAAACTTTGCAAAAATGAAACTTTGGAAAAATGACAAATTTGCAAGATTTTCTGGTGCAAATTTATAATTATTTGATCTCCAGAGATTTGTAAGATGTATTTTGTCAAACTTTTTTTAAAAGTTGAGCTTTTTTGCAATTTTTGATAAATCCCCCGGGTTGGGGAAACGTCAAAATTTTGTGATTTTGGGATGAAACTATCGAATTGTCGAGTTTTATAAGTACAAGATTGAGAACTGGAGAATTTGGAGAACGGATTTGGTGAAGGGAAATGATAAATGGTGCTTGAAAGGCTAGATTGCGGTAGATTTTGCGAAGGTTACGATAGATTTCGAAAAGGTTACGGTAGGATTATCCGGTAAGAAAGGTGGTAAAGCTATGGTACGCTTTAGAAAAGGATACAAAACTGTGCTCCGACCGAGCCTTAGCGTCTCTGGAAGCCAGCAAAAGAGCCCTCTCTGATAGGTCCAAGATACAGAACCAACCCGGTCTGATAGGCTCAAGAATTTTTGTGGACCAAGTTTACCCCCTTTGTTCCAAGCAGATCCCTTGGATCTGTACCAGGCTGGGCCAGAATCCAAGCCTGATTATTGCCCTGGTTTTTTTAGCACATTGATGAACCAAATCCCAGAAATTTGCACTACAATCCCAGGACTTAAAAGACTCTAGAATCTGAATTTAAATCTTAAATTTAAGCTAACAAACTCCAGATAGTTTATTTTTACGGTTGCAATTATTTGATTTTAACCGCAAATTTCTAGTAATTCCCTTTACAAAATGCTGTTTTTAGAAACTTTGAAAACTCTCATTTTTTCAAAACTTCTTTGAGTTCTAACACTTGAGATTTGTAAATACTTCATTAAAGTATCCGAAACTATTAGAAAATATTTTTTTCCAAAACGTTCTCGCTCCGGGGGAGTCGAACCAAAAACCCCCTATTGGAACTTCAGATTGACCGCGCGCGCCTTAGACCACTCGGCCATGGAACCTCAGAGGCTCATGTTTACAAGCCACTGTGGAACCCTTATGACGGGGGTGGGACAAAGGTGCACCTTTTTTTTTGCGCACCCGACCGCACCTTTTTTTTTGCGCACCCGACCGCACAAAAGCGCACCTTTTTTTTCGCTGGAAAAGGCCTTAGGAAAGGCCGTAGAGCTTCGAAAATATTTCCATCGAAGGGAATCATATGCGTAGATTCCGAATTTCGACAAATTAGAACTTGCTGACACGTCAAATTTGGGCTAAAAGGCAAAAACTGCGGAAAAGCGTGAAGTTGCGTAGTTTTTGCCTCTTAGCCCAAATTTGACGTGTCAGCGAGTTCTAATTTGTCGAAATTCGGAATCTACGCATATGATTCCCCTATGTGGAAACATTTTTAAAGCTCTACGGCCTTTTCTAAGGCCTTTTCCAGCGAAAAAAAAGATGCGCTTTTGGTCGGGTGCGCAAAAAAAAGATGCGCTTTTGGTCGGGTGCGCAAAAAAAAGGTGCACCTTTGTCCCATCCCCCTTATGACTCGTGGGTGCGCGGTTTCATGCATGCTCGATTTTGAGGTAAACTTTGGAGGTAAATATCTCGAAACTTTAGAATCGTCATCCCCAAACAACATACACCATCGGAAAGTAAATCCAAAAGCATCCCTAGTAAGCTTTTCGGTACGATTCGGTTATACATTCTCACCTAAGCCTAAGTCTATCCAGTGCTTTTGAGAAAAAGTGTGCATAGTTTAAGTATAAGCTTTTTTTCGATTATGTTCTCAGAACAATGGTACTTTATAGGTAAACATGCACATAAATTAGATAAAATATTATAGATTTAATCTAGTTATTTGTTAAGATATGGAAATTTCTAGCCGAATAGTAACAGGGTTTTCTAAACTCTTCTTTCTACCGTAAGCTTGTCTCGATTTTTATCTAGTCTATTCACTTTTTTTGGCTAATTTTGTGTGGATTCAAAAAGGATATTGAAAGATAGAAAAAGTGGATAGATTAGATAAAAAAAGATAAGATTATGGTAGAAAGGGAAATGAGAAAGAGGGTTTAGAAAAGGGATTGAAAGAAAGGAACTAAAAAGAGAAATAAAAAACTAAAATTAGTCTTAAATTTGGAAATTTTCATGTTTTTCTTTAAAAAAGATGTTTGGGTTATGACTTTCCACAATTGAATCATCGTTTTTTATTAGTTTTGCTTCAAGTGAAGTATTGTCTATAGAATTTTGAAAAAAGTAATCAAATTGTGAAAACAAAAAAAAAGATTAAACGAGAATTTTGCAAAAAAAGTCAAATTAAGTTTTGAACATTTGACTGAGTACTGAAAAAATGTTTTTTTTTGCGAAATTACTTTACAATGAGTTTTCTTTGGACTTTGAACACTCACTTTACACAGTAATTCTTTCTTTTTCCTGTAAATGATTCCAAAATGAGATTTAATGTTTAAAATTTGTGTCCTGGGGTTTTCAGGGTCGGGCATCGATTGGAAATACAATCGAACGTCGTTAGTGAACTGTGGAAGAGATCCTAAGAAACCGTTTACTATCGAGGTGTTCACTATCGAGATTCGTTCACTATCGAGGCGTTCATTATCGAGGCGTTCACTATCGACGTTTGTTCACTATCGAGGCATTCACTAACGAGGTTTGTTCACTATCGAGGTTTGATCACTATCGAGGCGTTCACTATCGAGGTTTGGTCACTATCGAGGCGTTCACTATCAAGGCGTTCACTATCGAGACGTTCACTATCGAGCTTTGTTCATTAACGAGATATTCATTTTATTCAGTCTACCAATTGGGATTGATTTATTGGTCTAAACTTTTGGTTGGACCACAAAAACTAGAGTTTTTTTTAATGAAAATCATTGAAGAATAAAAGTATCTACTGGTTTATTCAACCAATCCCAGCAATCAATCACAATAAAGATAAAAATCCTATTGGAACCCTAACCTAAACTGCCAAAACAGCACTTCAAATTCTTAACTTAAGCATAACTCTTGAAAGTCATTATTTTGTTGAGTAACGATCCTGGTCAATGAAATAACCGTTTATAATGGCTGCAATTTATGTGCAAGCCAACCCGTAGTTTAATTTCAATGAGCACGGTGCGTTACATTGCTTTACGCTTGGGATAACTCCAAACCTACGACTAACCGAGCCTTAACTTGGCAGATCGGACGGGTGTTTAGCTTTGGCGAGAATATAAACTCATTGAAAATCATTGAAACTCATTGAAGAAGCTACAGTTTGTTAATGAAAACCATTGATGATGAAAAAGAAATACTTTTAAGATAGAAAACTCTTTCAAGAGTGTGATCAAGAAGTGATCGCCTACACAAATCTTTATTGTTTCAGTGTTTCGGAAATGTTTAAGTCAAAATGGGATTGCGAATTTGTTGAGAAATTTTGGAAAGTTTTTAAAGTTTTAGTTATTAAAGGAATTTTTTGATGTCGAATGATTTCTTTATATTGGAAAAACTGGGAAAGGGGGGGGGGGGGGCGGGATTTTGAAAAGAAAAAGTGTTAGTACAATTATTATGATGGAGTGAGCGGTGGGCGGAGTTTTTAGCTGCTTCAAAGTAATCGAGTAGCTAAAGATGGAAAAGGAAAACCCTAATATAAGTTCAATTTACAAGTGAGTACGATAAAATATCGTAAAAATCGATATTCAGTCTATTTTGAAGAAGTAATCCTTTAAAAATGCGAGTTTTTTGGAGTTTTCACCTGGTTTATTTGCCCATTTTGGAGTCGCACTTTTAATTTGCTAAACCAAAAGCTTCATTGGCTTCAAACTAAATCATAAGAACTGGATTCTTCACGATTCTTCATGAACTGGGCACACTACACGACACATTACATGACGTTTATTAGCCAATCTTTCCATTAGTCGACCCAATTTTGAATGACTTACAGAAAACAGAAATTTCACTCACCGTTTCATCCGTTATTTACCCAATTGAAAGCTTTTTCTACAAGCTTATAAAGCTTTTCAAACTTTAAATCAAATAGTTGCTCTAAAGCTTGTTCTGATTGCCGTAATCCAGCTTGAATTTCATATCACAATCTCGTTGTTCATTGTTTATTTACTACCAAGTTTCGAAGTTGAATCTAATCTATTTTGAAGCAAATTTTTCACTGATTCCGATAATCTAAATCTAATGTGCAAAGGATTCAAATTTTCGATTCAAATCCGTTTGAATTTTTTGAAAAAGAAGTTTTCACGTGTTACGCGAGTATCAAGCGAGTATTTATCTGACAGCGCGGGTATCAAGCGATCTATTTGGTACCTTTTTGGTATCTTCTTGATGCTTTGCCTATCTCGTACCCATTTGGTAGCTATTTGGTAGTAATTTGGTGCCTATCTGATATCTATTTGGAAACTATTTGGAACCTTTTTGGTACCTATTTCTTACCTTTTTCTGGCCTGTTTGATCCCTATTTGGCAAGAGAGAGAAAGAGAAGAGGGGGAGGGAAAGAGAAGGAAAGAGGAGGGGAGGAGAGGGAGAGAGAGAGAAAGAGAAGAGGGAAAGAGAGGGAAAGAGGAAGAAGGGGGGGGAGAAGGGAGAAAGAGAAAGAGAAGAAAGGGAAAGGGAAAGAAAGAGAAAGAAAGAGAGAGAGAGGGAGAGAGAAAGAGAAAGAGAGAAAGAGAGAGACAAAAAAGTGATAAACTTACCGTAATTATGCTTTCGATATATCAATCAAAAATCATCGAATTGGTACAAAAATGGGTACAAAATTTGGGTTTTTGAGCAAAGCGGCCGGGTTGGAAAGCTCAAAATTTTCCCTAAAAACCCTCAAATCATGTGTTTTTTCCAGGTTGTCACCTAAAAACCCAGTCAAGTTTTTCCAAAAGAACAAAAAAAGGGAATTTTTAACAAAAGACAAAAGACAAAATACTTCTTGAGTGAATCAGAAAAAAGAAAAAAAAGTGAAAAATGAAAAAGATGTTTGATTTTTCAACAGAAACAAATGAGAAAGCGATTATTTTGGATGATTTAAGAATAATTTCTGAGAATTTTCGAGTAATTTTCTAGATATTCTTCTTTTAGATAAAGAATTTTCTAATTTTATTCCAAAATCTGAAAATTTTGAGTCGGGGATAAAATCGGGAAAACATTTAAAAAGCGGGGAAAAAAAAGAGGTATTTTTGGGTTTAAAAATAAATTGTGATCTTTTTTTTTGAAGAAAATAGCTTTGAGATTTGAGCTTTGTGGGCAAAAAATTTAGTAGATTATTTATTAGATTACAAGTATCGTTTCGTTTTATATTTTATCGGCTAATTAGTGTTGCAGTTGGGTAACTGAACCGGCCTCCTGAGTTGTTTCTTTGTAAAATCCGAGTTTTACTTGGTAGGTTGATACAAAATGAACAACTTCAATTGATTGGCCGACCCTGAAAACCCGTGGGTGCAAATTTAGAGCTGAATATCTTTTTTGTATCTGAATATCTGGATAATAAAAAGCAAAAGAATCCTAATGTAAATTACTGGCGAAGTACTCTTTGTGCGGCCGCGTAATCGCTCTCCATCTGGCAAAGCCCCCTGGGATAAGGGGCTTTCCTTTTGAACGAGTTTGAACGGTTTTTTTAGGTCCGGCTTTTAGGTTTTGGCTCGCTATGCTTGAACGTTTCTGGGAGATGATTGTGTTTAGGTGCTTGGAGGATCGACGATTTGGATTGTGTCTACGTGCTCGAAGGAACCACAAAAGACTTGCAACCTGCTGATGTTTGTTGGAGTGCACTGTTCAAAGCAAAGACAACAGTATGAGAATTGGATTTTGACATCGGCTCCGGATTTGACAGGATCACGAAAAGATGGAACGGGTGGTGACAATCCAAAGCCTCCTTCAATGAACATTGATTGAGGAGATTGACGAGAGCATCTACAAGCTACAAGCATCTACAAAACATCTACAAGCACATCTTTTCATGCGATGGCTTAGGCTTAGACCGTATGGCTGGCTGCTTCGACAAGCAAATGCATTGAATTGACAGAAGCAAAAGAAGTTGGTGTTCTGAACCATGGATACGACAAAATGAACATCTCGGTAATGCTGACAGGACGATCTGATGGAAATGATCTGACGACGAAAAGAAGATTTCTGGTGATGCCGAGCGAGGAAAACGTTGGATAAAATGTAATAAAATGATCGAATCTTTGTTGAATCTTGTAGAAATGTTGAAGCTTTGTTGGAAAGAAAAGAAAAATAAATGCTTCGACAACGACAAAGGAATTCTTGGAGCGAACTTTCAAAGGACTCGAGTTCTTTAACAAAAACAAGTGGTCGCTTTTGATCTAGGATTGCTCCTGTCGATTCAATGCATTTGCTTGTCGAAGTATCCAGCCATGCGGTTCACAAAAGTGACAGCACAAAGGAGGATCTCGAAAAGATCCCTTTGGATTGTGTCTCGTCCAGAGGAATGAGAAAATATGCAATCTGCTTCTGTTTCTTTGAATGCACCGTTCAAAGCAAAGATCCGACAAGAGTATGAGAATTGGATTTTGATAATTTCGCGTTTCTTCAGCGTCATTATGCCTAAATTCTTGCTATAAATTTGTCAGAACTTGTCAGAAGAACAGAATTTGTCTGAACAATTTGTCTTTGAATAATTTTTGAACGCAGAGAGAACACAAAAACTTCATTTTTTGAGGGTTTTTGATTAAACAAGCTGCTAAACCGAGAGAGAAATGCGATTCGACTCTTTTTTGACTCGAGATTCGACTCGAGTGTTTTCCTTGGTTTTTTTTTTGAGATTATGTAGCCCAATTCAAACGAATTGGACTTTTTTTGGGTTCAATTTTGTCCACATTTCATTTGATACTTATTTTTGTACTTATTATTTTTGTGCTTGGTACTTATTCATTAAAATAAACAACTCGAATCGATTTCCCGACCCTGGAAACCTCAATGCAAATTTAGAGCTGAATATCTTCTTTTTTGCGCTAACTACAAAAGGAAAGAAGTATGAGTATTTCGAATTTCTCACATTTCCAAATGATTCGTTTTGAATTTTCCCACAGTTTTTTCCAAAATTCGACTACAAAAACTACAGTAATCCCATGGAAATTTGAGTTTTTTCTCTGGAAACGAAATTTTTGAATTTTTGAAAGGAAAACGCGAGAATTTGTAGCCGATTTAGATGGATTTGCAGAATTACAAGAGTACAAATAGAAAAGATTTTCAAGAATGGAAAGAGAGAACTTAGAATTTAGAAAAGATGTGTGGAGGTGTCTTGGATGAAGCAGTAGGATGATGGGATGAAGCGGTAGGATGATGGGATGAAGCAGTAGGATGATGGGATGAAGTAGGATGATGGGATGAAGCAGTAGGATGATGGGATGAGGCGGTAGGATGATGGGATGAAGCAGTAGGATGATGGGATGAAGCTGTAGGATGATGGGATGAAGTAGGATGATGGGATGAAGCAGTAGGATGATGGGATGAAGCTGTAGGATGATGGGATGAAGCTGTAGGATGATGGGATGAAGCAGTAGGATGATGGGATGAAGTAGGATGATGGGATGAAGCAGTAGGATGATGGGATGAAGCAGTAGGATGATGGGATGAAGCTGTAGGATGATGGGATGAAGTAGGATGATGGGATGAAGCAGTAGGATGATGGGATGAAGTAGGATGATGGGATGAAGCAGTAGGATCTTTAAGGTAATGGAGGGCAACCTATGAAAAGTCTTGAATTGCCTAAAAATGAGCTAAATGTAATAGTCAATCTTTTTTAAAGCAAACTAGACATTGATCGGCTAATTATTCATTTTAAACGCTCATTTATAAACAAAAATTTTAAAAAGATGGAAAAGACTTTCTGGAGAAACTGATAGAAATGAGTGCTCGTTCATTTTTCAAAAAAATTGATTCCTAAGACTTTCTGGTAAAGGCAATATTTAGCAGTATTGACTGCTGGGCTATGAGCACTCATTTCGTTTCGCTTTCAAACATCCAATACCCAATAGTCATTGACCTATCCGACTATTCAGCTATTCAGTCAAGAATGGATGCATTGCTCAAATCAAAAGAAAACCCCAAGCTCGACAACACTGCTCGACAAATCCGCTTGCCGACCATCCCAAGCATTCAAAAAGCTTACAGTGCGCCAGAAGGGATTTGTTTACGAAATTTTCAAAGCACAAAGCACATAAATGATCAGAAAGACAGAATCCATTGTAGAAAATTGTTTAAAATGACTCTAGCTTTGAACGGGTTTTTCTCGACACTGGTTTGTCTTACAATGCGCGCTTAGGAATCAAAAAATAGCCCTGAATTTCAGCTATTTTTTTGATACCAAAGACGTATTTTTTGAAAGTACGGGCGCTTTGAAAAAAAAAAAAAGAAATACTAAAAAAATTTTGCGACTACGCGACTGTACGAGGGGGCTGGGGTACTATTAAAGTATTTACGGTAGTTTCTTTTTGCCCTCTCATTTCCCCAGAAGGTTTATTTCATCTAAAAATTAGCTTAAAGCCACCGTAATCCATTTATAAACACCAAAAAAAAAAAGCAATGAAAATACCGTACCCAAAACTTGTCATTCATTTGCACATCTCATAAGAGCCAATTTTTGTTGAAAAAGCCCAATTTTCCCTTGAAAATCTCAATTTCCTTTCGGAAATCTATAAGCAGAATATTTGTTGCGCAATTGTTTTTTGAAATCAATTTTTCTTTTGCTTTTTTATTCCCCCTCCACCCCCGCTTAGATGGAGATTTGGAGTCGAAAAAAAAAGAGAATTGAACTCAAGTTTTTCGAGTTTTTTTTTTGTATTTTGTACCTATGAAGACAAAAATGCTTGGAGAGGAAAAAGATTGGACAAAAAATTGAACAAAAACTTGAACAGAAAACTGGACAAAAAACTGGACAAAAAACTGGTACTTTCTTAGAAAAAAAATGTAGCTCTGGCTCTGGGTTTTTTAGCAAAACAATATCTCGTTCTAGCCTATTAAAGGGGACTTTTTCAATGAAAGTAATGAGTCAGCTTTAAAGCTCTATAAATTTGTCTAGAGAAAAGGATCGATTAAACATTTAAAATTGAACAAAAAGTTTTATGGGCTTTACGATCACTTGTCTCTTATGCGTTTTCTTGAAACCAGTACTAACATTTCGTTAGATTTTGGCTCTTTTTTGACACAGTAAATTTAAGGCTTGGACTTAGGCTTAGGCTTAGGCTTGGACTTAGGCTTAGGCTTGGACTTAGTGCGAAGGCTAACGGCGAGCGCCTCGCACTAGGTCTATTTGGGTTTGGGCTGAACCCCCATTTTCCGTTAGGCTTAGGCTCATGGCTTAGGCCATGAGGTTTCAAAAATAAACTCAATACTGAAGACTAAGCCTAAGCCTAACAGAAAATGGGGGTTCAGTCCAAACCCAAATAGACTTAGTGCGAGGCGCTAACCGCTAGCCTTCGCACTAAGTCCAAGCCTAAGCCTAAGCCTAAGCATAAGCCTTAAATTTGCTGTGTTAGGCCATGCGGCTTCAATTATCCCTAAAAACAAAGATGATTTCAAAAGCTAGTTTTTAAGGTAAAACTTAAACGTAGACAAAAATCAAGAAAAAGTCCTCTTCCTCTTTCCCCCACATTTCCCTGACGTGACTCAGTGATCTCAAATGATTGCCAATATCCGTTGATTCTAGATTTCCTCTCAAAAAGTATAGTGATTTCGCATTTTCGTTTAAAATCCACCCTCACTTTTCTCATCGCTAATAATTTCCGGGGGAAAGCAGAGGAAATTCACAGCAAAAGAAATGAGATTGGACTGGTGCTGGGTGAAAAAATGGAAAATGAATATTTAGGAAAAAATGGGGTAATTTTACGAATAAAACAGCTACGAAATTGAACACAATTTCGATGTTAACTTTGAGCGGTTCATTTACGCAATAAATTCAAGTCAAAAAACGCTCACAAAGGAATGACACCAGCTGGAAGTTCGGAATCGCTTCGAGCCTATGTGGCTCTTATAGAATCGGCTATGCTGATTCTAAGTCTGTAAAAATTACCTCCAGAAACCCAAGCAATAATAAGAAAGCTCGCATGGAAATTCCCATAAATTTCGGACTTTTCATGGGACTGCCACAAAGATATAACGGCTTTGGTGGTATGTCTGAACGGCCCCGGTGGTCAAGTGGATAGTGTGCTAGCCTGCTGAACGTATGAAGTTTCTTTTTTGTTGGGGGAAAAGTTGGGGATCAAAAACCGTAATGCGAACCAAATCGCGTTTCGTTCTCGCGTTTCATTCTAAACAGGGCGGAGCCGAAATCCCCTATCTTACTAGCTATTTTTTGGCGTTACCCAGGAACTTTGAGCTTTGAGTCCTTTGAGGTCACACCGAAACGGACAGAATTCGGTAAAGTGTTTGAGTTTGGTGTGTCTAATGTCTAAAATTGCTCTTTTTTGGCACCAAATGCAAATATGTATGAGGAGCTAAATTTTGCACAACGCTTTCGTCTGAAGTGAGTTGAGGTGGCTTGAAGAGGTTCAAAAAACGATATGAAAAGTGATACACTTGTTGAACTAGTTTACCGCTTTAGGAACATCGTTAAAAGTAGTAAAAGAGTGCCTAAAACATAAATATTTAATGAAAAGACATCAGAAAAAGAGAATTGGCCAGGGGAAGATTCGAACCAAAGCCAAAAAAACTTAAACGAGCTCGGCAAGCTAGCACACTATCCACTAGAGCACTGAGGCCGTTGAGCGAGACCACCAAAGCCATTATATCTTTGTGGCGGTCCCATGAAAAGTCCGAAATTTAAGGAAATCTTCTATGCTAGATTTCTTGCTATTGCGTGGGTGTTTGGAGTTAGTTTTTACAGATTCAGGATCAGCATAGTTGATTCTATAAGATCCACATAGGCTCGAAGCAATTCCGAACTTCAAATTGGGATCATTTGGAGTCAGGAATTGTCAGGAATGGCCATGTTGAGCGATCATTGCTTGGCTTTACTTTGTGAACACATCCCTTCTGGTGCACTCAGTTCTTCAGTCTCACTGGAAAATCGAGAATCGAGTGCGCTAGAAAGGGTGTTTTTACATTGAAGCAAAAAGTACACCACTAAAACAAGTCTAGGTTTCGTTTGGCCTAGAATTTTGGTTTATAACAATTCTGATTATTTGGGAGCTGTTTGTGCTTCAGAAGAGACTAAATGAATCCTCTTTGGCGCAAGTCAATTATCGTTTTTTGTAGTAAAGCCTGGTTGTCACGGCAAGCCAATGTCACGAGAAAGCAAAGCCTGATTTTACATTGAAGCACAAAAAACAAACCTAAAATCTACCATACTCTTTCAATTGTGAATTAAAAAGAAAATAAAAAGGCTTAATTCGAATAAGCAAACTTCGAATAAGCTTAGAAATTGTTCGCCTTATACACTCATTTATATTTTGACTGAAAATTCTCAAAGCAGAAACTTGTAGCTGTGTCTAGAAAGCAATTTTTGCGTCAAAAGATTGATTCACTTGTTATGGCTGTATCATTTTCGAACTCTCATCTCGTTTTAATAATATTTCTTTATTGGATAAACGTTTGCGAAATTTATGTTTAGACTGTTGACTCAGCTACTCTTTCTAATGGCTTTAGTAAGAAAAGAAAACGGAAAAATAAAATTGTTTGCTTTCAACTTTACTTGCAAGACATAACAGACAGTTAATTAAACAATACTCTCTTGCAGAAGCAAGTTTGAAAGAAAATAAATCCGGCTTAGCTTTTACTGCGCCGCTATTTTTTTAAAAATCGTTGCCGAGCCACGTGAAAAGCCAGGAAAGAAGCAAGATTTTGCTTTTTTGGCTGAAAGTTCAAAAAACGAAAGAAGAAGTCCAGTCGAGATCCAAGCCAAATCGTAGTTTTGTAGAAAAAAAAACAGCCAGATTTATGGCAAGAATTTCTCTCAAAAGTTTGGGCATAGTGACACCAAAGAAAAGGCTACGGTACCAATGGTATAAAACGGAAATTTTGCTGTTGGGAAACCATTCTTCTCTTCTCCTCGAAAGTGATTGATGGTCTTTTCTGCCATATTTTGGGCTTTTAGGGTTGTTCCTTGTTAAAATAGATTATATCTTTATATCTTTTTAAGCGCATATCTTACTAGTTTTAAGCATTGTTTTGATGACAAATCAGCTATTTTTGCTTAAAAAGAGCGACTGTTGAGATCTTTTGAGTCAATTTTAGCTCCTTTGAGATGTCAAGCTTTGATTATTGTTGTTTATTACTAAAGATCATCACAAGTTTTAGAGAAATCAAAGATTTGATCAAACTTTAGCTAAAACCGGCATTTGTCCCCACCTTGTCGTTTTTTTTTCAGTGGTGTTGTTGATTGTTTTCAACTTTTTCAGTGATTCCTTGTTAGAAGAGACACGTTTTTGCTTAAAAAGCAACTATTTAAATCTTTTGAGTCAATTTTTGCTCCTTTTAGATGTAAAGCTTTGATTATTGTGGTTTATTACTAAAGATCATCACAATTTTTAGAGAAATCAAAGATTTTATCAAACTTTAGCTAAAAACCGGCATTTGTCCCCACCTCTTTGATTGTTTTTGTTCTGTAGGCAACTTTTCTGCCATATATTTACTGATTGTTCTTTTCTAATCTTTCAATTTTCAGGAAGAGTGGCCGAGTTTTCATTCGAGATGCCCAATATTCTCAACTACCCGATGGGAAAACTCTACTACGATCTGGTTCTCGAAGTAATCGTTGAATTGGACCCAAAAGATGTGCCACTTGTTTCGTGCATTGGCCGGAGACAGTTGAAATTAACAATTGGATCAAGAACTTTCCTGAAATTCGTCATGTCCACGAATGAAACAAGACTTTCATCAGGGATACAATGATGGAAATGCTGAGAAAGCACAGGGTTGTGTGTTGTGTTGGTGATCTTGCTCTTGATGGTCCAATTCATTGCTATTGGAAAAGAATCGACGGGGATCGTGACTGTATTTATGTTGTGAATGGTTACTTTTTCTTCGCCGAATATGTTTCATCAATTCAAGGAAAATTTATCCAACCTTATTTGTTGATGCATTGAATACTTTGTATTTTTCAGATTACTGTTATGACAGCATTTACGTATTTGGTCCAAATAAATTTTGCA